AACGCACCGTGCATGATAAAGATGAAGTGAAAGAATCACGACATGAATCACTCCCACAGTCCACCCACACAGGTGTTTTTACTCATGAAGCCTGATTAGATCTCCTCACATCCAGGCTGGATGGTTTACCTATCAGGGATCTTATTTGTTCATATGTTAGATTTGCATTACACAGTTAAATGTAACTTACTAGTTTTCTAATCAGCTGGAGTGTTTAAAAAACACCTTTTTGTGCATCTGCAGGCCTTTAGCAGGACTTTAAGTGCCTTCTTGTAATACACTCAAAGTAAAGGGTCGGAGCAGAAAGTGTGACACAATTAAAATGATCAGTAATATTAATAATATTTGTACTGTTACTTAAATTGCCATAGCAGCATTACTCGGTTTGTGAAATAAACAAGCTGGGAAATTCGGCTTTTTGCTCTTGAGAAGCTTTAAGGAAGACAGATGGCTGTGGCTCAGTGGTGGAGTCGTTGTCCGTCAACGGGAAGGTCGGGGGTTTGTTCCCCAGCTCCTACATCAACATGTCATGTCACATGCTTTGTCAGAAAAAAGGGCAATAGAAACTCAAGTCCATTTATCATTTACATAGTAAGCATGATGATGTCATCTATTGTAATCAACACGCCCAGAAATGTTCGCATGCAGAAAGTTTAGCTTTAAGTGGATTTGGTAGAAATACTGTTAAAAATGGAAATATGTTTGTGACATTTATTACACAACTGTGACTTTTAGTCCTCAACATAACTGGAAAAAACAAAATAGGCTCATAAACACATTTAAAGGCGCAATATGTAACTGTGACACCTAGTGTTTAAAATGGGTACTACAGTCTAAATTCTAAACATATAGAGAGCTGTCTCCCCCTTCTCCTCTCTAGAGTCGATGCTCACTCAGGTCACCATGAGGTGGACACTGAAGCTTCAGTGTTTATCCAGCTCTGCATGGGTCTGTAAACCTTTCTGTGTTCTAACCTCTCTCCATTTTTCAAAAGCATCTCCAATATTGATCCTAGTTTGAGCACGTTTCTGCTCGTGGAGCTTATTAGAAACATGCAGAGGCTTTTTAGGTCGGGTACAATCACTTCTATCTGAACCACTTCTCTCGCCCGCTTCCATCGCTGCAACACCTGTTGACCTGATAACTGCTCTCATATCTGACAAACTGAGGGGCGTCCAAAACGGCTGTGTGGAAGGTGCCTTAAAACCGCCTACCTGCTCTGGTCCAAACAAATCCAGAGCATTCAGGAGCAGAATCTAAAGTTAGAAGGAGGACATACTGGCTGCTGCTTTGTTGTCAGCGTCTTCTTCTTCTGTCCGTCCGTCAGGTCTGGATGGAGGCCGCACGTTCTTCAACGCTGTGAAAGAGGGCGACACTGTGATCTTTGCAAGTGATGACGAGCAGGACCGGATCCTGTGGGTGCAGGCCATGTACAGAGCGACAGGACAGTCACACAAACCGGTCCCTCCCACCCAGGTCCAGAAACTCAACTCCAGGGGGGGCACAGCACCACAGCTGGACGCGCCCATATCTCAGTTCTGTAAGTTTTTTAACCAATCCCTCCTTTTTTTGTTTTTTTTAGTTCTCATAAGCTTTTTCTCTGCAAGCTTTTAAAAGTTGTGATGAACGTTGCACATTTATCAGCACAGAACCGAAAGCTGAATTTTCTTACCAGATGAAGAATATATATTTACAACTTGACCTTTGAGCGCTGCATGTGCTAGGTCGACACAACACTTGGATCCTTCTCCACAGCTTCTCACTCCGTCTCCGGTGCAGATGTTGTCCTCGTAACATTTTTTGACATAACCACCGACGATGTTCTTGGTGTGTCTTCTTCCCGGTCGTGTGCTTTTTATGTTTTAAACTGTTACTCTCTCTCTCTCTGTGTGTGTGCTGCTTCGCTCTCAGCTGTAGATCTGCTTTAGTGTTAAAGTGTCGGTGGCTTTGCTGTGTGTCTTTATGTTTCTCTGTTTGTTTCTTCCTTTTCTTTTTCTTCTTCTTTTTCTTCTTCTTCTTTACCCCGACCTTGCTATCTTGTAGCTGGATTTAACGGTAAGTGTTTTTCCTCCCCTTTCTTTCTCCTTCCTCCCTTTTGTTGTTCATCAGACTCTTTCTATAAGTATTTCTGTTGAAGGACAGAAATACAAGACGTACAAACATTTTTAATTTTTGTTTGTAATTGAACATGCATGCAGAGATGATTTGCTTTGGCTGTGCTTCATGTGCTTCACTGATGTTCCATCAGTACTGCAGGGTTTGACTGGTTCATTGTGTCATGGATCAGCCTATGACATCGCAGGTCAGGGTGAAAATTCATAGATGCTTTTTATTCATGGGACACGTTTTTCATGAACGCTTCAGAGCTATAGCAAGTTTATTGTACAACGAGATTAGTAACTGTGAGACAAACTTTGCCTCACCTAGGGACGCTGATTTTGAGACTGTAGCATTTTATAAATGAGGTGTGATTTTGATTTTATACCGAAAAGATTTTGGAAGGAGAAAAGTCTCTCTAGATTGTCCTGCTCTGCCTTTTTTTTTTGTTGCAATTTCAGTTTCCTTTTTATACATCTTGCATATTGATAGGAATTAAAATGTCCATTGGAAACAGTTTGGAGAGGCCATATCGCCTTAAGCCTCACATTTGAGGTTGTTACATTACTGAGGATACATTTCTGATTGTTGTCTGTAACCATCAGCTGATACCTGCATGATAAACACAGACACGCTGAGATGAAACGGGGAAATGTCATGTTTCTACGGATCACATCCCGAACTGTTGGAGATGAAATGAACAGAGTTTTCAACAACATCCGGAGCTGCAGTTCGATCTCATACAGAGATGCAGGATTTCAATCAATATCTTCTTAACCTTAACCACGGTAAAGCGCTGTGTGACAAACTGTACAGTATCATCTCAAACAAGGTTGTCAAAACATTCAATACTTTTGATAACACATGTTCTAAAAACCTAATCTAATCTCAGTTACTTTAATGAAACTTAGATCTTCAGACGTGTTTTTAAAGGGGACATATTCTGAAAAATCCACTTGTACAGTGTTGTTGAACATATATTTGGGTAACCTGAGTGTCTACTGACCCACAAAATGTGAAATAAACCCATCCAGTCCTTTGTTTGTGGTCTGCATAAGTCTTACAACACAGAGAAAAATGCTCCGTTTCAAATGTGCTCTCCTTGTGATGTCACAGTGGGATTCTGGTAAAGAATCCCCTCCCCTCCCCTGGTATCTCCACCCATGGACTCCACCCCCAGCCTAGAACAAAAGTTTTGTGCAGGTCAGCCATATTTATTCTCTCTACAGAGGAGTGATGTCTACGGGGAAAACTCAGGGGGGCTCATTTCATTTAAAGAGACACACACACCAAAACGGAGCATTCTGAGAGAGCTGGTTTACACAGGGTCACAAACCTCCTCTGGTGCTTGATTCATGTTATATTTTGACCAAAGCACAGCACAGATGTTTCATTTAGACCACAAGGAGGTTATGAGTTGACGCTATACAAATAAAAATTGATTAATTGATTGATTGACAAGGGGACTGTTTGAAAAGGTGGAGAAGGAGGATGTCCTCTTTAAAACAAATGGTTATTTCTCGTATTGTTTCAAAGTTTAAAAGTCTGGTATCATGACATATAAAAATATGAAGTCCTGATCAAATTGCTGCCACTAGTTAGAAAAAAACTCTAAAAATTAATTATGAAGAAAGTGTTGGTAGAGAACAATGACTCAAAGAGGAAGACCTCCACACCCAGTGTCTGAAAAAGTGTTTCCTGATAGCGTTGGGGTAAGTGAATTTACTGAGCGAGCTGTTTTTGTCACAACCACTGGAGTCCCACTGAGTCCCAGCAGCTGGTAATTACCAAGTTAAAAGTGCCAGGCCATGAATAATACAGTGAGCTTGCTGCACAATTAAACCAAGCAGCAATCAGTCAATGTTACCAAATAGCTACTTGTCAGTTCACACCTGGATCGGTGCAATGAATAATATAACATCCCTTCACTGTCACCCGGGCCTCCCCTGAGCCAAATCGAAATAGACCGCATTAAAACATTGTGACAACAAAGACAAAATTAAGAGATTTGTTTTACAGCGTCTCCGAGGTGAAACTGATTTTCGCAGTTTTATGCTTCGGTGTTCCACGACACACGGTTTAACATATTTTAATGAAATAAAGCAAATTGAAAGTTAAAGTTCTGTTTGAAAAAGTTAAAAAAACGAACAAGTTTTAGAAGAGTTTGAAACTATTTTAGAGATGTATTTTTTCTTTTAGGTATTTTCATTGACAGATGTGAAGGCTCCAGTGACATTATCTGTAATAAAGAACATAGATGCTTATATAGAACTTGAATCAACTGCAAAACACTCAACATACCTCAGATAACTCATGCATGTCTATTTTTTGTTGTTATATTTTTAAGAATCTCAACATGCTGGGTTAGGTATGGAGAAAGTGGCTAATCATGAGCCTGCTTTAACAGCCTATTCAATCCTCTGTTACCCCCAAGCGACAACCTCAGTGTTGAAAAAATGAGCTGCAAATCCTGCAGTTCCTCGACTGTCCAGTAGAGGCCGGCTGCATACGCACCTAGAAGTCACATACACACCCATTCTAAAAAGCCTGTTTTTACAGCAGAAATAAACATGTTCACTTCCTGGTACAAAAAAACAAAATAGGTCTGATTAGATCATGTCTGTATCGGCACACACTGTACGGGGGGGTGAATTTTTTTATAACTTATAATAGCTGACATGATTGACTGGTGGGCTGAAAGTTAGGCTGAGTTGATTTCTTAATTTTCAGGTAAACTGGGTCAGGTCAGAGAGGTCAGGTGTCGGCTCATCAATAAGGGGTCTTCAAAAGTTAAGTTACAGAGAGCTCTCGATGTGTTTCATGGTCAGTCTATAAAAAAAAAAAAAAATCATGCCATGTGCAGAATAGCCCCAAATGCTCGTGGCCATCAAACCGTTGACCAGCAGTGTGTCCGCTGCCTCCCGGACCCTCTCCTCTGGATCTATAAATGAATAGCAGCCATCAATCATTGTCAGGGCCATCCTTCCCCGGCCCAGACGGACGGAGGTGACTAATGTCACTGCATGTTACTGTCCAGCCCTCCCGCCTCCGCTCCCGCTCGCTTACATCAAACAGACCTGACAGGCCACCAGCTACAGACCAAAGGGGCACCGCAATGTCACCTTTTTAGAATTTTTTTTTTTGGGGGGGGAGGAGGATTAGGGTAAGGGGGGACTTGTTGAGGGGACACAATCAGCTCCCAGCGTCATGCTCTTTGTTTTGCTCATTGATTGACAGCTGGGGTGCCTTCGCTGGGCAGTGAAGAGGAACGTTGGCTGACAAATCTCTCGATTGTTGTGTTTCAGTATAACCTTCACTCACATCTGTGCCAGGTTTGGTCCTGACTGATAGGATGGACATCCTCTTGTTTAGTTAGTTTTATTGAATCTATGATGAGTCGTGCAGTCATTGAGTTATCATTATAAAAAGCTGTTCTGCAGCTTTAAATGTAACAGATGTAATTCACATGTTTTTGTATATTTGGGAAATGAAGACAGTCGGCTGTTCTGTGGAAGATTCCAGGTTTTTTCCCCCGCATATCCTCGTACAAATATGTTCATCTGAGGGCGCAGATGGTCTAGCGGTTAGCTCGCACCCCATATATGGGCGGCCGGCCCAGGTTCAAATCCGACCTGTGGCTCCTTTCCCGCATGTCAATCCTCACACTCTCTCCTGCTCTATCCTCTGTCCTATCAAATAAAGACATAAAAGCCCCAAAATATATCTTTAAAAAGTGGGCATCAGACTCTAGTCTTTAAAAGCTTCTAGCGTACGGTAGGCAAACATATTGCATGATTCCAGAGCGTCTTTTTGACTCGCTGTTGCACCAACCCTTGTGAAACTGAATACATTGAGGTTAAATCTGAAATGGGAAATGCCTTGAATGTGCCTTTGCAGCATTCAGCAGTAAAATACGGGTTTACACTTAGATCCTAATGTGTGTGTCTAGATATGACTGAATGATTAAACATGACACAGCATTTCAAAGAAGCCCTCTAGACGTCAGAACTAACCTTCAGCCTGCAGACCAAAAACTGTCCTGAGCTCCTCAACTTTACCCACATGGACTGCCGATGATGGAGTCAGTGCTCGACACAACCTCACAGCTGATTGGCTTAAAAAGAAAAGATCTCTTGTTTAGAGTTGAAAAGAAGGTGTGTAGAGCATTGCTTTATCGTCTGCACTTCATAAGATCATTTATTTTATTAACCTTTTTGAGAGTGTAACAGAACCTGTTCTTCCATGGTCTGACATGTGTCCTCTTGTTTCTTTCTTTCTCTCCGTCTGTCTTCTCATTGAATCGATTTCATGGATGTCTATACAGACGCCGATCGAGCCCAGAAGCACGGCATGGATGAATTTATTTCAGCCAACCCCTGTAACTTTGACCACGGCTCGCTGTTTGAGCTGGTGCAGCGGCTCACTCTGGACCACAGACTCAACGACTCGTACTCCTGCCTGGTGAGAGAAACACTTCACAATACAACCATCACTGAGTGACTATTGAGGCTGGTTGCAGAAGCCCTGGAAGTCACTTACACACCCGTTCTAAAAAGCCACTTTTTACAGCTTTCAGATGCTTTACATGGTGCACGTCCCGCTAAAGAATAAGTTGGTATGGTAGCCAATACTTATTTGACACATGAAGCCACGTACAGTCATTCAGAAGGACACTACATTTTTTTCTTAATGGTTGCAACTCCAACAAAACTTGTCGAAATCTTTTTGACCTGGAAATTTATTGCAATTATTATTTAACCCCCCCCCCAAAATGGGCAAAGATACGTGCAAAGTTTTATTGTAACAAATGTGCAAATGGTCACTGAGTTTGAGCCCTGTCCACACTGAATTATTTTTGATTTATGGCGGCCATGTTGTTGGATTGATCTTAGTTTGTATATCACAGTTCTGAAGAGCTTTGTCCTGCCTTAAACACATATCATCCCGTTTTAAATTTAATGTATCAACATGTTCAAAATCCAAAGAGCAAATTTAACACCACAGTTTTTAATAAAATGTAAATTTTCCAGTCTTGTATTTGTAAGTGTGTTTTAAAGTTCACTGGAGTCACACAGCAGTGTCTTTCTTTTTCTTCTCACAGGGCTGGTTCAGTCCCGGTCAGGTGTTTGTCCTGGACGAGTACTGCGCTCGTTACGGCGTCCGAGGCTGCCACCGACATTTATGTTACCTGAGTGATCTGCTGGAGAGGGCGGAGAACGGAGCCATGATCGACCCCACCCTGCTGCACTACAGCTTCGCCTTCTGTGCCTCTCACGTCCACGGAAACAGGTACAGATCAAACCTCTTGTTTTCCCTGTTTGCTTCATTTTCTGACAGGTGAACCCCCCCCCCCCCCCGACCGACTGAAACCCAATTATCATTTTGGACATGTAGCAGGACAAGTGTTGACAAATGAACAGGCCGTTACACACATAAGACATATTCTCCTCCCCTGTATCTTTTCTGTTCTTTCATCAATGTTTTGCCTTTTTGCATGTTTATTATTTTCTCTTTGCATGCTCACGTTTCCTCTTTCTGTCGTCCTTTCTTTTCCCTCTGTGAACCTCTTTACCTCGTCTACTGTTACCTGAACCCTCCACACATCCACACCTAGCCAGCGTGTGTCCGAGTTGTTAAACTGGCCTGTAAACGCGGCCGAACTCGACCGAGCTTTGTTCCCCTGTGTCCCTGAACTTCCCGCACAAACCTCTAGGAGAGAACTCAAAATCATTGAGTTCATGAGGAAAATTGACCCCAGGTCCCCCAATAGAAGGTAAGTCATTTTCACAGTCGGTGTTTTTGCAGAGTATAGCTGTTTTCACACGTGCACTCCTAAAAAAAAAAAATCAAATAAATTACAGGTCAGGCTGCCATTTGAAATCTTCCAAAGTTGCTTATGCACACATGACCCTCACAGCCTGATTTTTTCCCTTATTGAAAGAAGGGTGGGGGGGGTCCAAGGAGGCAGGACATGATGTAAAAAAGACACTTCAGAAATTCAAGATGAGAATGAGACAGACAGCGAGGAATTTTTCCTGGACATTTCCTGCTGTGTTCACACGTCGGCTAATCCTAAATTCACAGAGACGTTATTCCAGGGGGGCTGGAAGGAAAAAAGTCTGGGTAAAGTTGGGGGGAAAATGTGTCCGTTTGTGTTCACACATGCACCTCAGTCCCCCGAGGTATGGCAATTTTCCCCGATTTAATTGCAAACACAAAATAAGAGGAATATTTAGACCTCCGAAAGATTTATTGTTTGGGTTTTAAACGAAGAAAAGTCTTCTGTGATGCCAATGATTCTACTAAAACATCTTCCAAGCGAGTATTTTTATTGACTCTGCCATCAAACGTACAGAGGTAGCGTGGTGTAATCCTTGTGGACTTGGGGGTAATTTACTGCAGGTTTTCAGTTTGAGACACAGGACTCACATGGACGTCATCATCCCTGAATGTACGCTGTAATCTGAGTTTCAATATTTACTCTTCTCTAATCTGCTGTGATGTCTGTCTGACATCAAATTTGTCAACATCAACATCAGCTGTCTGCAGATGAAGAGTAACAAAGATAGACGAGGGGGCCCGGTCCGGCACTGAGGGCAAAGGTCTGCTGCTAGAGGGCAGAGTCCAGCTCGCTTTATTAATAATAACCTTACAAAAAGAAACACACACATGTTAATTCACATCCTCTTGCAGGTTTTTTTGTGGTCTTGAAATCCAAAAATAATGCACCTCTGCTTGAGTGGATGTGTAGATATGCGGGGCTAACCGAGTCCTGCTCTGCCAGTCCAGCCGTGCCTGGAGGTCGAGGCATGACAGGTTGACAGGTTGTCATATGTGACGGCCGAATGTCTCCCCTACCAACGCTGCTGCTGCTGCTGCGTGTGCCCCACTGCACACACCTCATCCAGACCCCCCCTCACCCAAACAAACACACACACACAAACACACAGTCACCCCTCCCCCACCCTGGCCTCCTAATAGCCTGCTGGCCTGGAGGTGTTGGTTGCACCAAGTTGGACTCGGTTGCCCAGTCGCCGGCTAAAGTGTCAGGATTTGACTTCTGTCCAGATAAATGTCCACTCCGTTTAGATCGACTTTTCGTTTGGAAGCGACTAAAAAAATAAAGAAATAAAATTAAGCATTAATCTTTATTTAAACACAAGTGACGCTCAATCTTTAAAACCTTTGAAGGATTATACAGATTTTATGGATGAACCCACAGAGCCCTTGTTTCTGAGATATAATCACTTTCATTTATTGTTTTTTTTTAAACCCCTACTGGATTGAAAAAACAGTTTGATTGTTTAATGATTCATTACTAATACAGATACATAAAAACATCCATTAACCCACATGCAGGGCTGTGCGTGCATGTGTGTTGTGGTCGAGTGGTTTTTGCATTTTCAACAGATTTATGGAACAAAATGTTTTAGTTTTAATTTCTGGATTTAAGAAAGTAACTGTTAAATCATGCCTGATATGAAGGAGCAACTTACCATGATTTTAATATTACTATTATGTATTTCAAATGTATCAAACAGTTTTGCAGTTATGGTATTTGGTTGGCATAAAATTACATAAAATGTGACACAGGAGGTTGGATCCCAACACTGAAAAGAACCCATGCAGCGCTCCAAACATCGACTTTTTCACTGACGGAAACAACGTCTTTTAATTTTTTCATCTAAAGTTCTTTGATTACAAAATTACACTTTTTATTTTCTTTAAACAAACTGTCCAATCAAATCCAGTGTCTTTAGGAATTTCAGACTGGAAATTAGTCACATCCCTTAAACGATAAAATACAGTAACAAAACCATTTTAAAGCTAATTCTCTGCTATCACTGATTAAATCTACACCTAATTTCATCCCTACACAGATTGATCGTGGACACAATATTGTACCAGTACAGACTTTTACTTTGAAAATCACGAATCAATATTAAAGCAATAAGTTAAAACTGCTTTGTCAAACTCAAAATGGACAGAATTTAAACAAAAGATCCCAGACAGAAGTAATCGAGCTTGATGCCCTGATGTGGTCTGCAGCGTGTTAAAAGACGATGTGATGTGTTGCTGCCTCGGCGTCTGTCTCACACTGACGGCTCATTTGCTTGTTGTCGTCATCAAAGCTGTGAGGTCAGGAGGTCAGGCAAACATGAGGAAGCTGCCAAGAAATAACGTGCTGCTGGAAGAAGGGGAAAAAAAGAGAGACCCTGCAGGACATAATTAGTGTGAAAATTTCCCTCTTTCATTTTCTATCTGATGTTAAAGGTGAGATGGCTTTTTTTGTAGTGTTGATTTGTAATATTAAGTCCTGTGTAACGTCATATTGGGCCGATCTCATGCTAAATTTGAATCTCCAGTTTGTCATTGTGAGGTTTAAGAGCACATCATACAGAGAATAATTCCTCTCCTTTCCAAAGCTTTGATGTTCAGAAACGATTTTCTGCTGAGGCCACACGATGTTCACAAAAGAAAATTTGAGGATGCAAATGTATGTTACATTCATCCACACTTGCACAACAAATAAACGAGCATGCAAGTGATAGAGAGGGTCACAGCACCACTGATGAGAAAGATCCAGCTCATCAAAGCCACAAATAAAGATCTGACAACGTCTCCACAGCGCCACCAAAGAAGAGTGTTAAAGATCTTCCAGCATCAAATACTCAGGATAGAACAAACACCGACATGAGCACATTAAAAACACAACGCAAAACGCACCATGCTCATACATGAGGTGACATTTCCCACACACATGGAGGGCACTTATCACCAACAACATATTACCATTAAAATTTTAACAATTTGCAAACTAAATCATCAATTCCTCAACAAAACGTGTCCATTAAAACCAGTGCCATGCTCAGACCATGGGCTCAGCCGTCATTTCTTAAAAGAACTACATGTAGATGACGGATGATGTTCATTTCTTTAACGGCGGTCCATGTGTGCAAACTTCTCTATGACCTTGCTGTTGAAGTCCAACAGTCCTTGGATGAGGACACACTTCATCATGAGTGCTGTAACGTAAATTAATTACATATCAGTCCCTTGTTAGCTAAGGTAAAGCTGGTAAGACCTGCACGCTGCCCGCCCTTGTGCCAGTCAAATCAAACAACAGGCAGCCAGGCTCCAATTGCGATACACCTCAACACTGCAGCTGCAGGGCCAACTCTGATGTGCCCCATCGAGCGGAAACAGACGAGCAGCATCAGGCAAAAAGACACATTTTCAAACTACTGCACTACTCATTTTTTTCCAGTAAAGACATTCTGACTGTAGAAAGGTTTACAAGAAGTGAAATGCTCTGTCGTTAAAATGGCCCGCTCAGAAAATATAATTTAAATAGCATGCCCTCTTTTTGAGATATTAGTAGTTTACCACTACACAGTCGTCATCTCCTCGATCTCAGCAGCAGACGCCTACAGGTGGCTATGACACGCTGACAGCGTCCGATCAAATGTTCATGAAAGAGCGAGGACGGTCTGAGTGAGATGATCTCTGATGTTAAGCAAATTGGTACATCTCAGATTGTAACACAGCAGCACTCATGGAGCAGTGCAGCCAGGGAAACCCCTCCCACACACACACACACACACACACACACACACACACACACACATGCAACTACACAGACAGTTTCTCAGTGTCTGCCGAAATGACATGTCAAAGGGTTGTGGGGGGGGGGGGGGGTGTCATGTCACCTGCTTCTCATCATGCTGTCATGGCCACCAGTCCAGCGCCTCTTCTGTCACATGCACTCTGCTCACACTCCACCCAGACTCCACCATGTCACAAACAATAAACACATCCAATACACACACGCTCACACACACGTACCTGATTTAAACGCTGGGATTGCTTGACTTAAATTTCAAATACCAACGCCAATATGATAAATAAGGAGACTCATAAGATTCTGTTTTTGGACTTCTTGTTTACATGAATAAATTTGGCACATCTACTATTCTAATACATTAAGTGTGTTTGTGTGTGTGTAAGTAAAGGACTGTAGAAACACTACCATTGCAGTATAATGAGGTCCTGTCTTTGGGTTGAAATCGCTGAAAGATGCACGTCGCCTCTTCGCAAATTCTTTTAAAAAGATTAAAAACTCCACGAACCACACACCTGCAGTTTGCAGTAAAGGTTTCACGGTCACAAGATTAGGACCAAACAGTGTTTTCCGAGAATGAAAAATGAAGCCAATGTGGAAGTGCAAAATCCTGCAGTTCCTCGAGTGTCCACTAGAGGCTGGCTGCATACGCACAGGAAGTCACATATACACCCATTCAAAAAAGCCTGTTTTTACAGCAGAAATTCACATGTTTACTTCCTGGTACAAAAATCATATAGGTCTGATTAGTGCATGTTTCGATCGGGGCAAACTGTACGGTGGGTGAATTTTATGTCATGAGGCTTAAAACCTACCTTGTGTAAATCAGTGTACTTCTGAAAGTGGTCTTTTTCGATTCTCTGATTTTTTTAAATTTCCAAAATCCAAAACAAAAAATGCCAACCAGAATTAAAATTTTTAGACACTTCAAATCCATTATTACCCCTTTACCTTTTCTGAAGATAATTTCCTTTTTAATATAGATGGAAATGGAAATAACAGGAGCAAAATGTACAGTTTCATACTGAAACTTTTAGAAGTGACACAAAATACAGCAACCGGTATTCCCAGGATAAAGTGCCTGTCGTTAGGTTGACTGAAAGTTAGGCTGAGACAGGATTTCCAGCATGGAGACCGCCATCGACTGGACTCCAAAGCCTCCTGCAGGAACAGACAGGTGACGTCTCTCAGGCTTTGCCCATTGATATTTATAGTCTTTGTTAATGACATAAAGATCATTTGGACGAATAATCGGTTGCGGTAAGCCTTGAATTCGGTCAAGTTACAAGTTTGTCGGTTGCTGCTTTAAAGGGCTGCCCAGTCCTGGCGCTCCAGCTTCTTGATGTGACCGCAGACTTTGAACTGTCTGTAAATGTAAACTATCTTTCAGGCCCGATGGCATCGGCACAGTTACTGTGGAGGAGAAGGAACGCTTCGATGAGATCAAGGAGAGGCTACGGGTACTTTTGGAAAACCAGATTACACACTTTAGGTAAGAACTGAAAAGACAACCATTTGCTGATCTCATGCCCTAAACAGAAGTCTGTGGGTTTGAATAATTATGTCACGTTTCATCCACAGGTACTGCTTTCCATTTGGACGACCAGAGGGGGCGCTGAAAGCAACTCTGTCCTTGCTCGAAAGAGTAAGACATTTTAACTATTTCACAGATGGGTTTGAGTTTTTTTTAATGCCTTCAACACATTGACAAGACATCAGCTCATGGCTTTAACGTTGGGTTGTCCACCCATCTGTCCGTTTGGCCCAACCTCATACTTCTTGAAAACTGTACTTTGTCCCTTCTGTAAAGGATTACAGACTCCCCTTCTGTATTCTTTAAAGTATTTTTGGGGCACTGATGGCCTTGTGGTCAGGTACCAAGCCATATAAGGAGGCTGGATTTCTCTACCGTCAAACTGTCAATCATCTGCGTACACTGACTGATAGTAACTGCAAATTCACAACTTAAAGAGGACATATTATCCCCCTTTTTCCACCTTTTCAAACAGTCCCACTGTGGTCTAAAAGAAACATCTGTGCTGTGCTTTGGTCAAGATATGACATGAATCAAGCACCAGAGGAGGTTTGTGACCCTGTATAAACCAGCTCTCTCAGAACGCTCCGTTTTGGTGTGTGTGTCTCTTTAAATGAAATGACCCCCCCCCCCGAGTTTTCCCCGTAGACATCACTCCTCTGTAGAGAGAATAAAAATGGCAGACCTGCGTAAAAGTTTTGTTCTAGGCTGGGGGTGGAGTCCATGGGTAGAGACACCAGGGGAGGGGAGGGGATTCCTTTTTTTACCAGAATCCCACTGTGATGTCACAAGGAGAGCAAATTTGCAGAGCATTTTTCTCTGTGTTGCAAGACTTATGCAGACCACAAACAAAGGACTGGATGGGTTTATTTCACATTTTGTGGGTCAGTAGACTCTCAGGTTACCCAAATGTATGTTCAAAAACAGTGTACAAGTGGATTTTTCATAATATGTCTCCTTTTTTCAGTGGAGGCATACAACGGCAAGGTGGTGCCTCTAGTTTCCTTCTGACACATATTATCGAAGAAACAGCTGGGCTCTGTTTAACAATGTGTAAGATTAGTGGCCAACATTCACTGAACTTAAGTGCCATTATTGGTTGGATTACTTCCTGCTGACTCAGGCCTCGTAATAGTTAATACTGTGATGTCAGGGGCGACGATTGTTAGAACTATTTTCAGATTTTTCCTGATATGTTTAGCATCTTGCATGATTAAAAATGCAAGCTGTTTTTAATGTTGTTTTTTTCCCCTTTGCAGGTTCTGATGAACGATATCGTCACACCCGTTCCACAAGATGAAGTGAAGACTGTTATCCGTAAGTGTCTGGAGCAGGCGGCTCTGGTCAACTACCAACGCCTGTCAGAGTACGCCAAACTGGAAGGTAAGGCTTTTCCCATTGCTGTTTATATTTGTGAAAGTATTGCTGAAGTTGAAAGACAACTTTGTGTGACGGGGATGACAACAACAAAGAGTGTTCTGTTCTTACAGGGCTCAGATATTTTTGATTATCAATGCCGCGTACAGATGAACTGAAATGGTAAAATAAAAAATGTGGTTATTGGAAAGTAGTGTTGAAATATAAAGCGAGATATTAAAGTAGTGCATGAGATCCATTTGATGAACTCATGATTTAAATAACAGTGTCGTTCTGATGCATCGTTAAAGACTCAACGTTTGTTTAAATGTGTGTAGACGTCTTTGTTTCCAACCGTCCAATGAGCTGTTGGAAAAGCGTCTTTATAAATCTACTGGAGTTTCCAGTTTTCTGATTTGGTACTTACTCAAAGTTGAAATTGTACAGTTACTACAGGTGCATGTGCTCACTAAGAATATTTATTGTTTGTTCAGACCAAAAGAAAGTAAACATTACTTGAAGTTTTTGGTTATGTTTGACCAAAATGTAATTTGTTTATTGCTGTTGGTTTAAATTAAACCGAGACAGCAACCCTCGCTTTCCTCTGTCTCTGGCCAAAAGTCACCCATTGTCTACAATCTGATCTAATGTGGCTGAATGAGCCCAACAAATAGGACACATTTTATAAAAAAAAAAAAAAAAGGAAGGAAGATTTTAAAACCTAGAAAATAATTTAGATTTGTACTTATATTTAAAACATAGTCCAGGTTAACCGACCCTGATGAAATCTCAGAACATCAGGAACACTTCATTAACGATTTGGATTCACAGCTTTTTAAGACTTTGTCCATTATGAGTCTTGGAGAATAATTGGTTTTAATTTGGTCTGAACACACCATAAGAAAGCTTTTCCATTTATGTTAAATATTATTCTCACATTTTGAATTTCACATGAACAAAAAACTACGCTCTAACTTCTCTTTCTCGCCTCAGAAGAAAACTTTTCTACCCTTTATTCAGAATGTACTTGATGACCTGAGAGTCGTTTTGAGCGATACATGTTGTATTTCTCTTTTCTCACGTTCTGCATTTACGAGCATCAAATGAACGGGAAGTAAAAATGCATTCAATTCAGTCTTTACACTAACTTCTTCCAGCACGCCTCAGCTCCTTTATCAGCTGAAGTGATGCCCCTTCCTTTTCCTCTGATCTCACCTTTCTCTCTCCTGCTCTCGGATTATTTCCATGTCACTTCTTTATTTTCTTTGTCTATTGGCTTTGCTGTTTGTTTGGAAACAGGAAGGCTAATACACAAGACTCAACGGGACTTCTCAGTGTCCAGTTTTTTTTTTTTTTTACGTTGCATGGTCTTAAGTTTTCTTTAGTAGGCATCATAGATATTTAGCAGGATTCAAAAATGTGTTATCCAAAATGGGGTCACAACAGTGGCTGTACCTGTTAACTACTAAAGAGTTATTATTATTATTTTTCTTTAAATCAATGAGCTAATTTCAATCTACCATCCACTTTTAACGGTTGTATATGAGACATTCAGGACGCATGCTTATTTGCTGTTTGAGGAGGAGTGAGATGAAACAACCACAGTTATCATTTAAGACGTAAGAACACAATATGTTCTTTAATTGATGAGACGTAGCTCTGACATAGAAAACTCCTTACTCACTTTAAAACAGCAAACGAAAAGATGTCTGTAAAGAAACCATCGCTTCCCTGAAGACACTAAGGCATAATGAACCTTAGTTTCTCAGCTGTGATGTTTGATTCTCCCCTAACCCCTCCTGTCCTTCATACTAGTGGTGTGCTTCTCGATCTCTTTAAAAACCAACACTGATATGTAAGAATTGACTTCTGTTTGGGAGAACGAATGGTTAATCCAAAGTAGACAGCCCAGGAACAGCTACAGCTGTGATGTTCCCCCGACTCTAAGGAACCTGACACACCAAGCAGACGGTAAAGAGCTAATGGCAACAAAGGCACCTTTGTGCTGGCCAAAAAGTTGCACTTGAACACACCGCAAAGACTACAGCCGACGGCCAACCACCACGTACGTTCTGCTCATGCGTGAGAGGAAATAACTCTCCATGCCAGCAGGGGGCGGTAGTCCGTTGTTATGATACAAGAAGACCATTTTCACACCGCTGTCGCTCACCACTCGTATTATAGGTCGTCTACTAATGGAGAATAACGTCTGATAAAAAGGTGAAAATGGCGCTGGCGTTGTCAGCTCTTGGTCTTTTAGTGGGAAAAGAAAAGGAGAGGAGGAGGAGACGAATAAGGAGAAACCACACTAATGGGTGAAAGCATGGAGATTACAGCGGCATGCTCAAGGGGTTTTACTGAACCTGTGAGGAGAGCTGGAGAGAAATGAAACCTCCAAACAGTCAATCAGAGAGATTCCTCTTAACAACCGCACAGACAGACGGCGATTCAACATGTCGAACCGGCCGGAAAGATGGCCAACGGGTAGCGACAGAGCTGGAAAAACCGCAAAAAACTATGGCGACAATCGCTCCGACAATCTACTTGGTGTGTCAGGGCCTTTACACTCTGAGGCTACCTGGTGTGTTGTGTTGGTGACTTTGGCTTCTCATTAGCCCTCATCATTCAGACTGCCGTTTCATGAAGCGATATTTACACCCCTGTGATGTAATGGAGGGATGTATTTCTGTACCGTCTTCAGAGGCGTTGCAGAGGCAAGACGGTCTCGTGGACCCAGAGGGGGAGCGCAGCGCTATGTGTGTGTGCACGTCTGACTTTGTGTGTATGTGAAGCTCCCGCTGTTCTGTTCTGTCCTGGGCTTCCGCAACGCCAGAACGCAATGTGAATTCACAGACTGGGACAAAAAATGTCACGCCGTCGCGGAATCAGTGTGGATGTACAAAGGCGTGATGACGGCTGAGCTTAATGCAGCAGGGAAAAAAGCGGTGTGAAAAGGGCTAATGAAAATCCTTAACATTAGACAGTTAATGTCATCCAACTCACATTTGAGGATTTGATGCAGTTTGAGGACATGCTTGTAAAATCCTTGAAGGTCACATATTATACAAAATCCACTTTACCAATTGTTTCTAACACTAACATGTGTCTCTAGTCTGTCTGCAAACCCCTTAATGATGAGAAAAGTCCATCCTCTCCGTCTTTTACCTGCTCCACTTTTCAGAAAATGTGTGCTCAAACAGGCCGTTTGGAGATTTCCCCTTCATGACATCACAAATGGCAGTAGCCCCTCCCCCAGGAGGGTGACACTCCCACAGCTAGGTGTTTGTTCTGCCCTCTGAGTCTGCCTTCTCACCGTAAACAATAGGACATGGAGCGAGAAAGCCTGAGTACACCCAAGCCCTTCTAGAGAGGGGGCGTGGTCAGACAGAGCTCATTTACATATTTAAAGGTACAGACACAGAAACAGCCTGTTCTGAGCAGGGCTTAAATAGAGGGGTTTATAGACCAAATACAGGATCAGAGTGGATTTAGAACAAGGAACTTCACACACATGTTTTGGAGAGCTTTGAGACTTATTTAAACTGGATGAAGAGGAGGAGAATATGTGACCTTTAAGGTGTTTTGTGATGCATTTGTAAGCCTTTAAAGCTCTTGTGAGGAGATCTTATTAGTCATTATTAAGCGCTTACTCATACCTTATTCTACATGAGCATGGTCTATAGCTAATAGGTCATTTATTAAGAGTTTGCCCTTCTGCTTACTGCTTGATGATAGTAAGTTAGGAAGTTGTTGAACATGAATAATTATCATATTTGCATTGCTTAGTATGGTAGAAGTAAGCAAAGCATATTAAGATTTTTAGATTCAACACTTTAAACATCAATAACATGAAGTTTGTGAGAATTTTAAATAGAGACATATAGAGACATGGGCCCCTGAAAACCTCCTCTGGACAAACCTGTAGCGACCTTTGTGCTCGTCCTCTCTGACCCTGCGCCTCTCGCATGCCTCGGTATCCCCCCCTCTTTCTCTGTAGGGAAAAAGAGAGAGATGTATGAGCACCCGGTCTTCTGCTTGGCATCTCAAGTGATGGATTTAACCATTCGTGAGTACCTTCCTCTTCCCCCAGCAACATCCTCCTTCACCTTTTGCATCCCTTTTTCTTTCTTTCTTATTGTTCTCTTCCAACCAGTGTCGACCAAAACAAGCCAACTCTCACTTTTTTTTTGGTTACGATTTTGTTTGTCTCTGTTTGTATCCGTTGTCTCAGTCTCTTCCAGACGCTCAGTACTTGATACAGCTTCTTATTTTCTGTCCTGCCCAAAACCACCTGTCCTTTTGTCTGTTTGCGACTTGAATGCATTTTTACTTTGCTTGTGTGTAAATCCTGTTGAGTGTTTAAGATCACGGCACATTTAAACATTTAAACAGGAACCAGCCTGCAGTGATTTGAACGGAATCTTATTGAGCTGTAACATTTTTGGATCTGTAGGATAAGAGGTGCTGTCCCAGGAAAATGTCTCTGTCTGTGATTGGCGCCTCCTGCTGGTCGTTTTCACATTTTAGAAGCTTCTCAAAATTTTTAGGTTTGTTTCCTGTTGGATTTCAGGTCAAAGTGGAGATCCTTCCTAAACCGTCTCCTTCATATGCTGCAGATATTTGTTCAATGTGTTTTAAAGTCAATCTAACCTTTTGTCTTTATTTCTGATTCCTGTCTTTCGTCACCTCTGCTATACCTATACTTTCTGTATTTAACAATCTCTTCTTTCTCACCCTTTACCTGACACTTTCCCACCTCTTGTTACCTTCTTTCCATCCTCGCACCTTTCTGTTTTTTAAAAAAATTTAAATGTGACTATAACTTAGAGGAGAAATCTCAGAAAAAACAGAAGGATCCAGGTGACGTTGTACTGTATGTCTGAACCTTTCCTGTTAGATCATTCCTGACCAGAATACACCAAGTCTACTTTTAAATCATACCACCATAGACCCTGTCACAACCTTCCTGTTACCTGTGCATCACTCATCAAAACCTTAAAGCACATGCTTCAGGAACGTTGTGAAATCCCCTCTCCCCACATTGTGGTGTTTTTCACTGCTTTTGAATGCTTCAAATGGAGAACAAGAAGAAAGAATTGACACCAATTGAAAATGTTTGGTGGAAATTAGAGAGACTTTTGGATGACTTTAATGAAGTGCATCACTCACGGTAATATAAATATATCCATGCTCTACGAGCATTCACAGCAGGGGGATGTTGTTACGCTGACAGAACACGACAGGACAGCAGGAATGAGTTTGTAATTGACAAATGGAGAGAGCAGTTGTGGAGCTGATTCCCACATTGTCAGTGAAAATCACTTCTGTTGACAAGTTCCCTGAGAAAGCAAAAAAGAGTACGAGCATCAAAAAGCATCAAAGAGCATCAGGGCATGGAAGAAAAGCACTGTTTGCATGCAGGTGGCTTACAAGTATTTTGATTCAGTACCTTATGTTCTGCATGAGGAAAGGGCGAGGTAATAGTTCATGTATGTTAAAAAGCCACAAACGTAAAATGTTTTAATGATATCCAGGTGGTCAAAATCTATTTTTAATAAAGCATTCTGTTTGCCCGTTTACATCAAGTAGAATAATAAAGTCATATCATAGTTAAGTATAGAATGGTTTAGTGTAAAGTAAATGGTAAATAGCACTTTTCTAGTCTTCTGACTAGCGCTTTTACACCGCAGGACACTCCTGCACATTCACACACTGATTGCAGAGGTTTCTAGAGTGACCATCAAAAGTAACTAATCCCATTCATACACATTCACACGAAGCAGTGGGAGCAATTCAGGGTTAAGTGTGTTGCCCAAGGACACATCGGACATGTTGCAGCAGGAGCTGGAGATCAAACCCTGAACCTTTCGGTTGAGAGACGACCGACTCGACCACTGAGCCACAGCCACCCCTGTGGTGTGTAGCATAGCATTGTATAGTGTAGTATAGAAAAGTATAGAACAGTACAGTACAGTACAGTACAGCATAGCATAGCATAGCATAGTTTAATTTAATATAATATAGCATAGCATAGCATAGCATTGCATAGCATGACATGGTATAGTATATTATAGTATAGTATATAGCATGGTATTGTGTAGCATGGCATGGCATAGTATAGCATAGCAGAGCATGATATAGTTTAATATAGTGCAGCACGGCATGGCATAGCATAGTTCTATATAGCATGGTATACTGAAGTATTGTGAAGTATAATTATGTATGGCTTAGTATTGTATATAGCATAGCATAGTAAAGTTTGATATAGTACTGTATAGCATAGCTTTGTATTGTATAGTTTATTTGTATGGTATGTAGCATAGCTTAGTATAGTATAATGTTGTGAAATGAATGTTGTATAATATAGTGAAACAATGATCATATAGCATAGTTACTTAATGTTAAGTATATAATAGATGAAGAATATTATAGGAAATAAGAGTTTTGTAGAGTTCAGGGAGAGGTGCCATTCACAAAAAAAAGATTCTAATCACAAGAACTAAGACTTCAGAACAACATCTACCAACTTTTGTCCAAAGTGAGGACTGGACTTGGCAACAGATGAGACAATACGTGGTCGGAGAAGAACGCCACACTTCCAGCTTGTCAAAAATATCACAGTTTATCATGAAGTCAACGAGCTCTGTGAAGCATTTAATTGGACTTACTCAGGCTGCCCCATGTCAGGTTGTGAAGTTAGATCTGACAACTCTTAAGTCTAACATGGACATTTTAAAAGTTAAATCAATTTAGAAATGTTAGAAAACTTTTCTTTCAACTCCAACACTTTTCTTCCAAACTTCAGCTAAATAGCTTTTACTGAAAAGACACTTTTATATCCAAACAATCCCCCTTTGAACCAGGACAGAAGTCCCTTTCTGTAGAGCTTTTGGCCCTGTTAGCATGACTGAACCTCCAGCAGGCGAGCACTCATCAGTCTGCTGTGTCGTCCACAACATCACTGAGCCAGAGAGCTCTGACAGTATTTTTACTGAAAACAGACATGACTCTGACACAGACAGCTCAGCCTATTTGGATTCTTATCCACAAGAACGATGGTGCTGTTCTCAGAGTGAGGAAGCATAAATCAAACCAACACACACACACATTTTTTGTTCTTTTCGAAACACGTGCTGGCCCTTTATTTCAGTACCTTTTCATGACTTGAATCTTTGAACTCCTCAAAAAAGTTTAGCTGCAGGAGCTGGGTACGAACCCCTGACCTTTCGGTTGAGAACCGACCGACTCTCCCAATGAGCCACAGCCGCCCCAAGCAATAACAAAACTATTCTACATTAACGCAGGGGAAGCAAATGTTGCCAGGCTTCTTTCTTCAACTAACCAGGAAGTAAACACAATTTATGGCGAAGGATTTGAATTATTGGTGTGGAAATATCTTCAAATTGCATTCACCTCAGCCTACTATACAGGTAGAGAAAGCTGCACCCCAAGCAATCGAACTGCACACTAGATAATGTGGATATATTAGCACAACATAACCACCACATTACTGCATGATGGATGTTCAATGTACACGCTGTTTTACATCCCTCATCATGTCTATGTGTTCTCTATAAGACGGTTATGTCTGAACCATTCACTTCATACGCAGACATAACTACTTCCAGCCACCAAACAGTGCACTCATGGGGAAAGTGTTGATTCTAAAACTTCTTGAACAACACATAGTTAACCTTGAGTTTATGGTATAATTAGCGCTGGGTACAACAAATGCTAGATGTTAAAGTTAGACATGATTGGGTTTAAAATCTGACCTTTATTGACAATTTTTCAAAAGATACTTTAAATATTATCCAGTCTTTTGTCCGACAGTTTTAATATTTGATTCCCTGCCCTAATTATAACAACTAGTGGATATTTCTTGCTTGTATTTTTAAAATGACCATGACACTGTCCCAGTGGTTTAGGCTGAGGCTATAGACTGGACTAAGGATCTCTTTTGAGGCAACAGCTTTACCTACACTTTGTGAGTGACTTAACCCAGTGTTTTGGAGTAAGAAGAGTTACATGCATGTTTTTTTTTTTCATGTATACAATCTAAATACAGTATCAAAGAATACACACATTTCTTTGTCAGGGCAGGGATGTTGTAATAGACTTTTGGTTGCATGAACATTGTTTTTTTTGGATACTGGTCAGGCTCAGGGGCTACCCTAACTGATTGTTGACTTTTGTGCTGCAGAGAATGTAGGACGGTTAGTAACCCCTGCAAAAAAACTGGAGGACACCATTCGCCTGGCTGAGCTGGTGATTGAGGTGCTTCAGCAGAATGAGGAACATCACGCTGAGGTGAGTGTGCTGGCATCCTCTCGTTCAACTGTGCTGACACATCCACAGGCCGATTTCAACTACCGATACAACATCCCAATGACTCTCTGGGTACAACTCTAACGTCATTGCTAGACATTGTCAGACCTTTACCTTATTGTTTTCTTGTGCCGTTGAAGTCTGGAGACGTAGGGTTAAAAGTGCAAAAGTCTTCTTGGATATGGCAGTCAAGGGTGACACGTGTCAAACAAACACACAACTCTTATATACGAAAAATCGGGGCTACATTCCTGTGTAAAATCAAGAGTCAATTATGTCTTCTTTTTGAGTTTCAATAGGGACGTTAGTAATGTCTGATAGTGTTAGTTATGTGACTTTCATTAGCTACCCAAGTAATGGGTACGGAAACCATGATCTATTTCCTTAAACAAATTAGGTAAATTTTGGCTGCAAATGAAGTTCAATTGAATTAGTTTGATAGCACTGAGGCTTCAAGGTTCCTCAAAACCTAAAGCAAACAGTTTTTCAAAGGCTGGAGATATACTTGCTTTTTAACCTTGCAGCTGAGTACACAGTGTTCACATACTTGGCTATAAACGACATGTGTTACTGAGGATAACTCTACTGGGCACACCAGTATTTACCAACGACCAGAAGTACAGGATGTGAACAGCAACATGACAGGGAGGTTACTGTTGTTAATTCTTGCATCAAAGTTTAAAAAAATGACACCAACGTCAGTGGTATGTATGGCCCAAGCCCATTGGAAAGATGGACAGTTTTGAAGGTTTCAATGGCTACTTTGATACACATATTTGTCGCTGTGTATCGGTAATGACACATCCTAAAGATGTGGATAATCGCTCACTTGGTCTGTCAGCACGTCTTTCTGCCATTGTTGTCCTTGCTGCTGTGTTAACATCCCCTCTGCTTCTACACTGCCCCTACTGTTCATTTTCAAACTTCCTATTGCGACCACCTAGCATTCATTTATGAAGACAGCCATCATGCCAACGCATACTGAAAAGCAAGTACATCACCAGCCTAAAACTTCTTCAAATCTATGGATTTAAGCAAAAACCATGCATGACATTTGTTAACTGTGTGAAAGCGATGTAGGAGGTGAACTGACAAGTCTACAAGAAGTTCTCTTCACCGGTGTGTGAGCTGTTATTACAGCCTCAAGCTACATTTTTGCTACATTTCTACCTAGCTGGAAACCAGTGTAGATATGCCCAACTCTATTAAGAGTGGAGTATGCTTTCAGCCATAGGGAGTGTTTTCAGATGATGTTTCCCTACTTGCTAGATCAGTTTTTATCAGACACAGAGTTTGGTGTATATTCCAGGATATTGATTGGCAGCAGGGATCTCCCTCCTAGACTGTCCATTGATTATGTTTACCTTGGTCTTTGTATAGTTTTTAAAACCATCAGAATACCAACAGGGGAGCTGCAGATCTCTAGTTACAGACGATAAATTGTGCAAGGTATTTTATATTCCTCTTTATTGGGGGTCTCGGTGGTCTGTGTTTGTTCATATTTGAAATGGTGAATACAAAGTCACTTACTCGTGACTGCATGCTACCTTGAATCATCATACTGCATCTTATCTGCACAGCGGGCCATGTCTGATGCAAAGTACACAATCTTATGTGTAGGTATAGGAGCAATGGGGTTATCAAAAATCCTACTGAGTCATGAGAACATGCAATATTAAAACAGCATGGGGAGATGAAATGCACACATGAAGAAAAGAAAAAGCGAAACTGGAAGGTTTGTTTTGATTTGAAGATTTAGGCCAATCAAATCTCTCTACCTCTTTTTACTTGAGTGCTGTGCAATTTACATGCAACATTTTCACTTGGCAGCCATTTTCCTTGGATCTCAGACTTCCAATTGTACTGTGTGTAACTGTATCAAATAGTAGTGTTAGCCAGTAATGGGTTATAAAATATGCTGTTCACCTTGCAATATGACCACATATCCCTCTTGGTTTTCACAATAGCTTTTTCACATATGCACTCCTGAAAATTTCTAGAAAATTTCAGACAGACTCCCGCTGAAATCCACTTGAGTTTATTGTTCACACATGCACCTCACAGTGGGAGACTATCCTCGTCGGACAAGGGGGGGGGGGGGGGCATCTAAGGACGTGAGACATAGCATAAAAAGGATGACGAGGAAGAGGGTAAATGGTAAATGGACTTGAGCTTATATAGCGCTTTTCTAGTCGTCCAACTACTCAAAGCGCTTTTACACTTCATACCCTTTCACACACTGATGGTAGTGATGATCGCTATGTAGTATCATCCATCAGAAGTAACTAATCCCATTCATACACCACCACTGAAGCAGTGGGAGCAATTCAGGGTTAAGTGTCTTGCCCAAGGACACATCGACATGTTTCCCAGCTGGGGATTGAACCTCGACCTGCCGGTTGAGAGCGACGACTCTACCAACTGAGTCACAGCCGAACCGGTCCGACGCTATATTGAGAATGTATTTGCCTTTAAATCACTGCTACATGTAGTTTGACAAATTCACAAGATCAGCAAAAGTCTTGACAAGAAAATACTGTTCGCATGCATACAGTCTATGGTTGTGCTCCTGTCACAGGATGTGACACTTGCTCAAGGTGAATTTCCTGAATATTGTATTGCTACATTCTCACATCAGCTTACTCCTACTTGATGTAGAAATTGATTGGAGACTGTCAGGCCAGACTCAGGTTTTCAGGAGTTTTGTGTGAAAGCACCAAATTATTATCTTTCCAGTCACTGACCAATCATGAAGCGGTGAAAATTACAACACATTTGTCAGATCCCAATTTATACAATTTGAAGCACAGCAGTACAACATTAAATAACATTTGAGTTTCCGACTGAGCTTGAAGTCTGAGGATAATGGCCACTGAGTGAAAATGGAATATTATTGTAAATCAAATGTTTGGGCCACTTCCTTTAAACTAAAATTGACTTATTTTCTCTCTGCTTTGTATTTCAATGATTGATTTGGTTGGCGGGGAAATGTTTGAGCAGGGAAAAGAGGTATGTGATTGTCTTAATGCCATATGCCCCATCTCCTACCCTACCCTATTTACAGTCCTGTGCATGCACTTAATGACCCTGCTGGTGTTGCAGAGGATCATTAATGTCCCCCATATCAACAATGACCCAGAACCCCTTTCAGCTTGTGGTCACTGCTAATCAAGTGCTTGTGTGGCAACGCTTGTTAGCTTCTAAGCTAGCAAGCGTTTTGCTTGAAGAGACGAGACAAGCACTTAGGCAGTGTTATATTACTCGACATTATCTCACTGACAAAACAAAGTGCAGAGTTGGAGGTTTGAATTCTGATGTGTTTAACTTCACAACCCTGTACTTTGTTTTTTAGAAGTCCAAAATCATCCTTGGAAACACTTTGGTGTTTTCCTGTGTCCAGCCATGTGTCATTGGTTCTATACAGTCCTGTAAGAAAACTTAGGAAGGTGCTGTGCCGCCTTTCCTTCCCTTAAAATAACAATCCTCTCCATTGGATTCCTCAGAAAATACACAATGGAGGAAATGCAAGGCATGCTCTGTTTGATCACAGGTAACATCAGTCCCCATGCATTTTACTGAAATGCATCTCACTGCTGTTCCAATAGTGTGAGCACATTGGTGCATGATCAACGTCAGACCCTAACCCTGGAAACAAAAATGGATATATATTTATTTTTTTATATGTAAGCTGAAAACACATTCAAGATTCTCAAAATCAATGTAATGATCTTTCTTTTTTATATCCTTGTTGCTCTAATGCTGGTTAAAGCTAATCATATTTACCAGCAACTTTTTGTGACACGCATGCAATCATCGATTTCTACTCAAAGACTTTTATGTGGATTAAAACATTAAATTCTTCAAAGTCATCCACTGCAAAAGGAGCAGCAAAACTTGCAAAAGGTTGTTTAATAAAACTCAAGAGTTTCTGTCACATGTTGAAAATCCTCTCGGACTCTTCTGTCTGCTTTCTGATTTTAAAAATGTTACCACAAGGAAATCACATTCAGGGAGTTTGTATTTTAGGAATCTCAAAGCAAAAAGTATGAGTTAGCTGCCGTGACAAAGATGGTAACTGGAGGAGAAGCATTAGCTTTTGCTCTTTCCTAAGGCTTCAAAAACCAATGCTTCGTCATACATCTTGGCTTCTAATCTGCAATCTTTTAATTGTAATTTAAAAAAAAAGTTGCCTTAAGACTACTGATGACAGTTAGCTATTGTGCTTATTCCGGTAAATTTACTCTTTGCTCTTTCCGAATCAAGAATACCAAAAAAACAGATGCACATTGAAATGTTCAGTGTCTGCAAAAGACCCATCTAGAATCTAGATGGGAATTTAGTTGTAGAAAGACTTCTCAGCGGTAGTTGGAGATCATGGGTGGTGGATGGGTCAAACTTTTATGGCGAGCCAGCCAGGAGGAGTTTAAAGGTGGTGAATGGGTTAAACTATTCTGGTGAACCAGCCAGGAGACAGAGGTTTGCATCCTGTGTGAATCAACAGGTCAGGGTTGAGTTGTTTTTCTAACCTGCACCATGATGTCTTTTCTAAAAGTGACCATGAAGCTTCTGTGGCTTAACCCGACAAATAGTAAAGGATGTATCTTGGATGAGAAGGTGTTTGTAGCATCAGAGTGTTTTGAAACCTGCGTTGCCATGGGGTTTAAAAAAGTAGACATGATAAATCATGTTAAGTTTCTGCCTGTTTTTAAACCACCATGCATTTATATGTGCTGATAAAAGATATTCTGTGTTCACAGCAAATCAGTAAACAGTCTTGCTGGTTGCCTAGTGGTTAGTTAGTGCACCCCATGTGCAGAGGAGGAAAGCCTAGGTTTTAAGTCCAACCTGTGGCTCCTTTCCCGAATGCTATTCTCTACTCTCTCTCTACCCAGTTTCCAAATCTATTCCCCGTCCTCTTTATACAGCGATTAATGTGGGTACAGCACAACTGAGTGTAGTAAGGCTGTGGAAAGGATAGTTATTTCCTTTTATAAATAATTTTAAAATGTTCAAGAAACACTTGATTTTTTTTTAGTTTGCAAGTTTTGCTTCTCGTATTTGTCTTGTTTCTTTTTGGTTGTTTTCATGCAGAAGTCTCCAAAGTCAAAAACGATGATTACATGCGTGACAGTCTCCGGGTGTTTACCTTCTCTGCCAACTATCTCCCACTCCAACTATCCAGTTCTAAGAGCTCCCAATGGCAAGTGCATGCGGCTCCCGCCTCATAAGCCCATGGGTACATTCACATTACAGTGTTGACAGCTTGATGTGAATGAGCAAACACCATGGATCCTCAGGGGTTCCTCTTAAGAAGCCGGGTAAGAGTGGGGGTGCATGGAGGAAAGCGAGTGTTTTTCGATGTGCATGAGACCAGCTCGGTCCCTAACAGTCACTCCACAGCGTCTGTTTTATGGGGGAGACTTGAGCACCACTGCAGCTCGCTAGCTCCTTTCTTCTGATTGATTCGCTTAAGGAGCAATGGGTGAGTGTTTAAGTAGCTCCCTGCCATGCCTGTCAAGGAGCTGCTGCTGTTTTCCTCCATGGGCCAACAGGAAAGTGTGTGATTTTTTTTTTTTTCCGTGCCCAAGCGCCCGTGTTTTTCTGCTTCGAGTTGTGAAGAATCCTTCCCTGGAGGTCAAGCAGCGAAGTTGTTGAGGCAACAAGTTGATTTCATATGTTGAAAAGTGAGAAAACCAGCCAAGAGCTTTTGCTATAGATCTCAGGAGTTACATTTCATCTTTATCTTTTATGATAAAACAAACCAGTAAAGTGAGGCAATGCCGTTTATTTATAGAGCACCTTTCATACATGAAACTATTCAGAGTGCTAAGACCAGTGCTAAGAGTTAAGAAAACATTTATAGCATCATTTAAAGCATTTAAAGACATTTGGATATTAAGATTTATAACACATGAAGATAAAAGATCAAAATGTAAATTCTAAAAGGTCAGAGCACTTTAAAGTACAAGTACTCATTGTGTAATTTTCTTCTTCCTTTCTTTCACTCTCAACCTCTTGGTTTCTTTTCCTCTCTTCATCTGTCCCCTTTCCTCCTCCGTCTCTCCTGTACTCCCTCTGAAGGCCTTCGCCTGGTGGTCAGACTTGATGGTGGAGCACGCAGAGACTTCCTGTGTCTCTACTCGGCCGACATGGACGCCGCTCTCGAGGTTCAGCCGCCCGACAGCTGGGACAGCTTCCCCCTCTTCCAACTTCTCAATGACTTCCTGAGAGTGGACTGTGAGTTAAGATGCTAATGAAAGAAAACATATCGAACACACTGAGTGGAGGTCTGGAAAGGATTATGCAGATAAATTCAGAGATAGTCTCGTTATGTAAATCATAATAAAAAAAACTTAAGCCTTTAGTCTTAAGCCAACAGAGCTGTAATATTTTCCACCAAAGACTTGGTGGTTTAGGATGATGTTGAAAAGGTTTCCACATGACTTGGCTCATTTTGGTCCAGAGCAGTGAACGCTTTCCTGATCAAAAATGTCAACATGGCAGCATACACCAGTGCCACTTAAAAAAAGATTCATAGGTCGCCTCTGATAGGGTCTGATTTGTTGTGTCTTCAAGCAAAGTGCTAAAGTTTAAGTCTAAAAAGTTGACTCAAAGTCTGCAGTAACTAAAAGCAAGATGACTCATTTATCCAGGGAATATAAGAAAAAAGACACAGGCATGCAGCCAAGTGGGAAAAGTTTAAAGGCTTTATGTGTGATTTATTGATCCAGCATGCTGGATGCTGTCGCCCTTGAGCATCAGCATGAAACCAAAACAACTCGCGCTGCATTGTTGTGTTAGCATGCTAATGCTAGCGATCTTATTATGCTGGTATCTTCACACTGCATGTAAATTTACCTGAAATGAGCGTGATCTAGAAACACAGTTAAGCAGTGAGTACAGTATGTTATTCTTCTTTTCTCTAGTCCCTCAATTAAACAACTTTTATACGTGAGGGGAGGAGTCAGCTGGCCGTCCCGGCGATGTAAACAAACTGAAGATAGGACTCTGAAAACTCTGAAAACATCACAGACAGTGGGACTCGGGTGTTACACCCATTGTAGACAGTCATGACTCACAGAGTTATTTTCAGAGGAGATACTTGATTTATATTATATTTAAGTGTGAAACATTGCATATAAAGACTTTAAGGACATGCAAGTTGCAAAAGACAACAGTAGCTGAAAAAGCATCGAGCAGTTGCAGCATTAAAAATATATGTTACTTATACATAGTGAAATGATGAGGTATAACGACAGGTACTGCATAGTGTATTAAATTAAAGTTAAAGGTCTTTGTTTGTAATTGCTAAGCTAAATGAGCATTTGTATTTGTGCTGTGCACTCTAGCACCCTCTAATGGCCAGCCATGACTGGTTCTGACCGTACAAGTGAGCACTTTTCTCCTCCACTGTTTCATATTCTGATCCCAGATATTTCCATGTGATGTATCTCAACTTTTACTTTAAGTCATGATGTGGTTGGCTGCAAGTGTCAGTACTGCAACATTTTCAAATTTCTATCCGATACGATGAATGTGTCCGGTGTTTTCTATGGTTTTTTGTCGCACAGTCTGATGATTACAAGCGACCACAAATATACCGACTGTTTGATGATAATAATGAAGGTTTACAGCTGCTGTTGCCTGTGCATTCCAATCTCCCTGAAACATCTCTCAAACGTCTCGGAAATCATCCCTGTCAATGTGAGATGTCGACTTTTTGCCCTGGAGGGGTCTACACACTGAACTGCCTCTATGTGTGTGTGTGTGTGTGTGTGTGTGTGAACCAGGAGTGTCTCACTGAAGATAATAGTCGGGTCTTGATGCCGGTTGCTGCAGGCCAGCCATCTCTCTAATGAACTGCATGCACTTGCCTGCAGGAACACTGTGGAGCTGTCCGTAGTCCTGTAAAGCAAACACTTCACTGTTCACAATGCGGACTCAATCTTTGGACCTCTAATTGTCCCTGGGGAATGCCACCCCCCCCCCCCCTTTCAGTTTGTCAGTCGGGAGTCAAGGAGAAGGCAGAGCGCGGCTCACTCATTCAGATGAACAGAGGTGACTGCAAATAGCTTGTTATGCTCACTTGTTAGTGTCATCAAATTGACCACCTCCTCCTCATTTGCCGCATCTCGTCAATTGTGTGGAAACAGAAATTGAAGTGCGTAGCAGCGAGAGGAGCTACACCATGCAGCAGTTAACAGAGGGGGGAGGAAATTGAGCCGCGCTCGCAATTACAAGTTAACGACAAAAACAGACCCCTCCTGTCGGTGTACATTTCCTTGTTTGATGCAAATTGTGTTTAAAATCAGTCAGCTGGAATCTTTGGTGCGAAGAAGTGCAAAGAAGGCACAAAACAAAATAACAAACATCTCAATCTCTCTGCTGTTAAATATTTATTCTTTCAATCACAAAAACACAAATGAAAATCTCTGTTATTTATACCTCATTATGTGTTTTATTAACTCTGACTTGACTCTTTGGACAAACCAGTCTTCACCTAAAAGGCCGGACATGTACTGCATAAACGTTGCGGTTGATTATGAACACGCACTGTACTTATGAATCGTTTAGGATGCACGACCACAGCTCATGAATTATGTGCTCACGTTGTACGGTCAGACTGAGTGCTCTCACTGTACATGTTAAATTGGAACGTATCATTGACATTTGTCAATAAAGTTTTCTTTGAAAAAAACTCCTACAGACAAAAGTTGAAGTCACATCTTCAACTCTCCCTTTCTCTCTCTCTCTGAGTCTCTCTCTCTCTCTCTCTCTCTCTCTCTCTTCTCTCTCTCTCTCTCTCTCTCTCTCTCTCTCTCTCTCTTCTCCCTCTTCTCTCCCTCTCTCCCTCTCTCTCTCTTTCTCTCAATCTCTCTCTCTCTATATATATATCCCTCTCTCTCTCTTTATCACTTTCTCTCTCTCTCACTCTCTCTCTGTCTCTCTCTCTCTTTCTCTCTCTCCCTATCTCTCTCTCTTTCTCTCTCTCTCTCTCTCTTTCTCTCTATTCCCTGTCAGCCAGATGTCTGCAGATGTTTCCTGCAAGCGTTTCTCTAAGAGGGGGAGAGACAAATGAAACAGGTTCGCCTGCTGTTGCCATGGTGCTTTCAGAAGCTGTTTGTCTTCTTGCACGGGCAAAAATCATAAAAACAATTCAGACGTCTGACCAAAAATAAGAAGTATTGAAGTAGCTTGAGCACCAGCCTTACTGTAGTGATGTGGACATCCTCACTAGTTTCTGAGAGAATGACTCAAAAGGCTGCATGTATTCATGGTCTGATGACATCACCATGGTTTGACCTCTGACCTTAAGCTCCTGCAGGGCCTCAAAACATTAAATACCATATGTGTTCACAGCCTGAGTACTAGTCATCATGACTAGTCAGCTGAACTCAGCGGAGTGCCCCTTTAATTCAACAAATGTAAAATAAACATTTAAGGACAATCCTCATAAAAAAAATAAAAAAACATCTTGAACGCCGACATAAGGCCACGCACAGTGAGACAAACACACACTTCAGTACAGCGCGTCATCATCATGGGGGACGTCTTTTCCACAGAAGGTCATCTGCTCCGTCGCCCCACAGCGCTGCACTTACAGTATGTAGCAGTAAATAGCCGTATAGCACCAGACAGGCGCCAAAGTTGGACCGCCATTCGAGGAGTTAATGAGGTCTAAAGCAGTGGTAGCTGCGGCGCGGCGAGCCCCTGCGAACACACTCCTGGACACAACACATCCAAGTGGACAGCAGCCGCTCAAGTGGCTAATTGGGAGAGTGGCAATCACGGAGCACAACAAACATTGCACCTACTGTGTATCATCGACCTTGACTCCGATGCCAACACACACAAACACAAACACACACATGCTCAGAGGGGGAGAGAAAAACAAAGAGAGAGAGAGGGCGAGGGAATAGCAGACACGCTGCATGGAGCCGTGAGGCATCACATTAGCACACACTGGCCTCCATTTTATCTCCTGTGGTCTTTGTCAGTGTTGCCTTTTTACCAGTTGGGAGCCGCCGGAGACGAGGGGAAATGTGTTTGATGGGTCGGATTTAGAAATTCCCCCGAGACGCCGACCTTTTGTTCAGAAAGATTGAAAGACTGGATGTGTTGTGTCACACCTGCTAACGAAGAGCCAGTGGTATAGCGTTAGCTTTTAGTTTATTGTCACCAGCTGCTACATGTTGCCCTACTTTCAGATTTATTAAACTGCTGAACATGCTTATGAACACATACGATTAAAAGTGTCTTTGGGCAGATGAGAAACATATACCTGGGGAGCTATACACACGTGTCATCTCCTTCTCTACATCCACAAAAATCCAACACTGGACTCTGGTGTATACTGTCTTATTTTGGAGAAGTGTGTACATCAGTGTGTCACTGATGTGTGTGTGTCTGTGTTTTGTCTGCTTTGGTATGTCTTCTTTTGATTTTCATTGTAAGGCAGTATCCGTCATAATGTTCCTAACACACATTTGTGTGTCTATGTGGATGATATTGCTCCGATATGCAGATGATACTGTTATTTATTGCTCCGCTGCTACATGCGTCAGCTTTACCGTCACTTACACAAGAAGCCTGCTTTCTATTTTTACGCCTCAGAGTGATGTTGAGTGATTCTCCATCGTCTTGTTACTACCTCAGACTCTTAATTGATGGGTTTCTATTTTTTAAGCTTCATATTCAGCAGCTTGTGAAGAAGGGAAAGTTGCGGCTTTAATTCAAAAACAAGTCTTGTTTTGTCTTTTGCAAGCAAAAAAAGACAACTTGTCGCAGCCACTTTTATGCCTCTTTATTAACTTTATTAACTGAGGTTTGTAACAGATCTCAAAGCTCTAACTCATCATTGCACTCTGTATGCTGATGCATTGGCCACTTACAGCTAAATCACTGTCATCATGTCCTGATTTATAGGGCGATTCTAAACATGCTTCCCTCTCACGTTGTTATTTTAATTCATGTGAGATATGTTGGAATCCTCATTGCTTTGGTTCCTCTAAAGTCTTATTTCCTCTCCCTCTCGTGTCGTCCCATAGACAACCTGTGCAACGGGAGGTTCCACAAACACCTGCAGGACCTGTACGCCCCCCTGGTGGTTCGATATGTGGACCTGATGGAGTCTCCATCGCTCAGTCCATCCACAGAGGATTTGAGCGGGAGTCCTGGGAGCCTGTCAAGTAAGGACGCCTCGTTTTATTCAACCTTTAACCGTCGTTTTCACCTGCATGTGTTGATTAAGACGTTTACTCTTTGCTGATCTTCACACATTTATAATGTCATATCAAGATGATGGATAGATTAGGTTTTGCAACACGCCAAATCCTTGTTTCCTCTCAATTCAATCTTCTCCATTTCCCTGCATTTAAAAAAAAAAAAACCAGTCGTGTACTGTACATCAGGACAGGGAAGGTGCATTTCTAAAATGTCCTTTTGAAGCTTTCTCCTGTTGGTTTTGGAAGAAAGAAAATAAGGTTTCAGACAAATTGCTGATTCACAAATCCTGAAAACTTCCTGAAGTTGAGCAGCATGTTTGAACACAAACAGCTGAACTTTTCACTCTGACTATGTTTTCTTATCACGTGTAAAAATGGGGTATTGAGGTCGACATAACCATCGTCTCTGCCTTTTGTCAAATCAGCGTTATGCTTTACCATCAGCTGTTGTTAAGTCTGCGGGTACCTTGTAGCACACACATACAGCTGCATAGATTCAGAACAGATGTAGGTAATCTGTACTGAACGTCTCTTTCAGTCTTACTTTGCTCTTTTTGCAAACTTTGTATTTCATTCATTCCTGCAGCAGCTGAATTCACTTACACATCATTTGCCATATGTTCTCATCCCCCCAGAGACTATGCAGTGATTTCAACAACTGTGTTTCACTTCAGTGCTGTGATTCAAGCAGCATGAAAGATACCATCCTTACTGTATGACAAACTGGAATGTCTACCAGCGTTTACTGCAGATATTTTAGGATCAAATGTACCGACCTCTAGTAGTACTCGAAATCGGTCTTTGTCTCATGACTGGTCTCGAGACCACTTTTTGAAGATCTCGATCTCGACTCGGAATCGAAAGCATTTTCACTTGCTCTTGTCTCAGTCTTAGACTGATTTTTAAATCAAGACCGATCAAGACCACCACTGATTGGCTTTTTTTCAACGTCATCACTGTGATGAGAAGCAAAACACCTCTTTCTAGAAGAACAAATAACTTCAATTCATTTGTAATTAGATAAAAATCCCCCGGTTACAGCCGCAACCTTCCTGGTGTTACGGTCTAAGTGAGTGACACGCCCGCTGCACACAAGATCAAGGTTTTCCAGTGATAGTTATGGTCTTGGTCTTGACTCGGTCTCGATCCCTAAATGTCTCGGTCTCAGCATTCTGCTCTCGGTTAGTGTGGTCTTTTCTACAACACTACTTTCTAGTGATGTCTTTACTTAACCAACATACACAGAGATGTCAAGTTTTTCAACATACAGCATCTTCTTGAGGAAATTTACTTTTACCTTTTGGGCATTTTAGAAACCCAATTTTAAACCTCCCAACCTCTGTTTGTAACTGTTTTACATAAGTGTGTTTATTTATTGCAGTTTTGTACTCGCTTAATTATCTTACTACATTTTAGACTTTTGTAGACTGATTTTAGAAGTCTTGTATTATCTGTCTCCTGTTTTTTGTTGATTTAATGTCTGTTTTCTAATTATTTCTGTAATGACTCGATGTCATTGTAAATGAGGGTTGCCCCTCAATGATCTTTCGAGTATAAATAAATAAAGGTTGAATTTCACTCTTTCTGTAAACATATTTACACTGAAGAACATCTACATGTCATGTAGAGAGTATGGTAATAATGTTTAATTTAGAAGAGCAGTGTGCTGGTTGATTGTCGGACGCTGAGCGTCTAATGGATCCTAAACTACACCGTCCCTCTTTGACTCGAGTGTTACTTCATCTTTTGTTACTTTTTGTTTGCATGATCGTTGTAAACTCTTTTTGTGTTTTGTCTTCTGTTACTCTCTGCTTCTCTCCACAGGACGTTAACAAACACTCTGCCCAATGTGAACCTCCAAATGCCCAAAGTACCAAATCTAACAGTGACAAGTGTTAACCTCCCACAGATGCCCAGCTTTTCTCCACCCAACTGGATGACAGCTCATAGTGACTCTGAGTGTGTATCTGCCTCGTTCAGCTCCAAACACGCACTCCATGTCTGTGGCATAAACGTGCAGAACTGCTTTTCAATCGATCTATCAGTCTTATAGCGTCAATTCACAACAGATGTTATCTCAAGGCACTTTTACAAAAAAGTATTATTTTAAATTAAATCGTCTTAAAGGCACAGTATGTAGATTTAACCACCAGGGGGCTCTCAATCAAAACAATAACAAAAGATGATGTTGAGGCTGGCGGGGAATCATGGGAGTGATTCTCTCTGATATTCAACCCCCCCGCACCACCGATAAAAAAATGAGATCCGAGTTAACCGTAGTCATGACGACCGGGTGAAACCGGCCTGAGGAAGAGAATATGTTTACAGACGAGCTGATGTATCAGAGTATAATTTACATGACGTTTTTATCACAGCATCACATACAGCAACAGGAGCAGCTCATGCTTCCTCACGCAGCATACCTCAAATATTTCCAGCAGTTATCAAAGCCTGAGAAATCCGTAAATTTATAGTTGTAACAAAACATGTCTTGTTGTGGCAAGATGACGGACACATGGTGACACATTCGACATTCGACATATCGTACCTTTAAGTCAAAGCCAAAGCCTCCAAAATATCACAAAAGAACACAGATGCCCACAGAGCGACATCAGAACAAAATAAATAACACAAATCAGTGGAATAAAGTCAAGAAATAAATGTAAATATAGAAATTTATTTGTTTGTCATCTTCTTTCTACATTTATATATTAACTAATAAATTATTTATTATGTATTTCTCCTCTTTTGGTTCTGATTTCTTTACGCTTTCCGAGCAAAGTTTTTAAAGCTTCAGCCCCAAGAGTCATCTTTAAAAGAAAAAAGCCACTTTCCTCGTTCAGTCTTCGATGTAGTGCTCATCATTTATTTGTTTCTTCATCTGATCTCCTTGAGGGTTTATTATGTTTATTAATATGTATGTGATGGGGTGGCTGTTATTGTTCAAAGAAAATCTGCATAATGAAAAGCGACTCGACATGTCATAGATCGCACGTATGAAAAAACTTGAGCGAAAGATCGTCGGCACCAACAATGGGGATCAAAGGTGTAAAAAGCTCGGTGATGCGCCGCGGCTTCCTGCAGAGTGTGACCCTGTTGCTGCGGCACGTTCAGCCCCGTTCCCTCCTTGGGAATCTGGAGGATACAAACTGAACACATGCTTCATACTTCTGATGTTTCCCCTCTCTTAGATCTGTAAGAAAGGCTCAAACTGGTTTTAAAGAAGGAAAGAAGGCGGGAGGAGTTCATGATTAAATCCTAAAGAACCTTCATGGCTGTGTTAGTCTGTTAGGGAGAATTAACGACCACGTTTATGCCGACATGAAGACATGGTGTGTGTGTGTGGAAGGACGAGGCAGTGACTTCAAAATGGACGTTTTCCCTCCCACATTCTGTATGTGCTCATGTATGAACTGTAGAGATGCAAAATCATAAAAAAGGAGTCGGATCATAAAAACTAAAGAGGGACGTAGACCATGTTTTTGAATGTGCCTGATTAAATGCATAGTATGTCAATGCCGCCACCAGGGGGCTCTCAATTAAAACAATAACAAAAGATGACGTGGAGGCTGGCAGGGAATCATGGGAGTTCTCTTGGCAAATCCACCAAAACTGAAAGTATTGACCGTGTTGAATACTGTGAACCTCAGAGGTAAAGAGGAACTACTTTCCTGGTTATGATCTTGCATCTTTTCAAGTCTTTTTTTAATCCCAAAGCTGTACCCCGAGGATTTACCTGATGTCCTTTTACCCTGACCCAGCCCACCCCAAAATTCTTAACAGTGATTGGCTTTTTGTCTCGTTAGAGGAGGGACTTATAAGGCTGCGGTGCAACAGGCTGCTGGTAGTGTCTTTACATTTAAATGTAGCACAGTTTTATTGATTGTACTTAAAATCATCGCAAAATACTGGACGCATCTATTTCATAAGACATGTGCATAGGAGAGGAATGTGCTCATACAATTTGCAAGCAAAACTCCTGCACACACACATGAAAAGGATCTGCAATGTAATTAAAACATTTCAGCACTAAAACGTTGCTGATATATTCTTTACAGGTAGACAGTGTGCAGAAGTTCAAAGTTCTTTAATCGATGACTTTAGATAAACATCTTCTTTTGAGAACCTAAAAATTAATCTAAGAAGAATGATATGTTTCTACTCTATAGTGACACTTTTTACAGTAAAGAAATGATAAACATGCTATTTATATGAATGTTTGTGCACACGGACTTTGTGTCAGAGCCCCAGGTGGGCCACTCCAGTCCAACAAGTCGGGACACCTCCCTGAATATAATCCACATTGACCTGACAAGTCCAGATGAAAAAATGTTTTTTTTAAGCAGCAGAACTTTAGACAAATACATTTTGCAGGTTATGATTTGTTTCTGCTCCGAGCATTATACTCAACTTTACCTTAACATGCCCCCCCCCCCTTTGTCCTTGTGGCTGTAATCAGGTTTCTCACACATTCCAAGAAAACTTTGCTTTAAGCAGAACATCAAGTCGTTCATATTGCACTGAAAGTAAAAATTGATGAACTGGATTTTGGAGGACAAGTTTGAACTACAATAGAGTGAAAAATCCTGGAAAAGTATTTCTAAGAATGAGTGAGAAGCCTGAACCTTTCTAGTACAGAACATACCTCTGTTTCTGATTTTATACCCTGCTATTGAAGCACACATCTCTTAATATTTGTGTGAGCGTACACCTGATGCTCTGTACTGTTTTACAAACCTTCATATATCCGCACAGAGACGAGTTTCCTGCACCCGCACATTCACACAGTCTAACCCACTTACTTTGCTTGATGTGTAAATGACAGGATGGAACATGCATACATTTTCACCTTCTCTCACAGTGTAGTGTGTGTAACACTGTTAGCATGAACCCGACTTTAAGTGCAGTCACAACACCACAGGTTCATCTGAACAGAGCATTTTGTTAAACAACTCATAGAGGGGAAACATATGCACAGATCTATCTATTTATGATCATTATCATCTCAGTGGGTTAAATTCAAAATGCACCAAGCTGTTCTTGACCCCTCATTGTCCCTTTTTCCAAACCTGTGGTCTTCATAAAAAAGCTCATGTTTAATCTGTGGTTCCTGCAGTAACGGCTCGGGGACGTCGGAGGATCTCTTCTGGAAGCTGGACGCTCTGCAGACCTTCATTAGAGACCTTCACTGGCCGGAGGAGGAGTTCGGGAAACATCTGGAGACCCGGCTGAAGCTGATGTCCAGTGACATGATCGAGTCCTGCGTCAAACGGTAACACTCTGTTCATATATGTATCACATGGCAACGATCACTAAACTGGACGTAAACTCAGGGGCGTTAATGACGTTTTGTTTCTGTAACATGAAACAAATGTTTTAGTGATCGTTCTCTGCTTCATGTCCTGATGACAAAAAGTAATACCATGCACAGAATCCAGTTTGAGCTTCAGAAATCTAAAGGCTTATCACATAACAAAAATACTGGAACATACTTAAAACTCTGTAGCTTTAAAGGAGCAATATGTAACTCTGGCACCTAGTGTTTAAAATGGGTACTGCAGTCCAAATTCAAAATATTGCAGAGAGCTGTCCTCCTCTCTAGAGTCGATGCTCACTCAGGTCACCATGTGGTGGACTCTGAAGCTTCAGTGTTTATCCAGCTCTGCATGGGTCTGTAAACCTTTCTGTGTTCTAACCTCTCTCCATTTTTCAAAAGCATCTCCAATATTGATCCTAGTTTGAGCACGTTTCTGCTCGTGGAGCTTATTAGAAACATGCAGAGGCTTTTTAGGTCGGGTACAATCACTTCTATCTGAACCACTTCTCTTGTTGGTTTGACCTGATAATTGCTCTCATATCTGACAAACTGAGGGGCGTCCAAAACGGCCGTGTGGGGGGGTCGCCTTAAAACCACCTACTTCTCTGGTCCAAACAAATCCAGAGCATTCAGGAGCAGAATCTAAAGTTAGAAGGAGGACATACTGGCTGCTGCATTGTTGTCAGAGAAGCCAGCACTTCAACATAGCATGTTTCCTTAATGTCTGATCATATAGTAAGATACCTTTATCATTTAGTTCAGTAGATATCTTACAGATTGATCCTTTAATAGTAGCATTTGTATCACTTAATGCAAAGAGTGCAGGTTAAAGAGCTGGAATATAAAGTCAACAAATTCATCTACCAGAAATGTAGGTGCTACTTTGATAATATTGAGTTGCAGTAAAAGTTGTGGCGGATGATTCATTGTGATTTTTAGTGATGCCACCTCAGATGTGCTGCAAATTGTCCCCAATGAAATATATGAGAGGGCTGAAGCAGGCACCACTGACAAGCTTCGCACGTCTTAATTTGATATGAGACAGCATTTAAAATCACAGATACTTCAGCGATCCCTGACTAAGACCTGTATGTGTCTGAATGTGAAACATGTCCTTAAAGAGCATAAAACAAAGTCACGACCAGACAATATGCAGCACAATAACAGGTTAAACATCTCCCTCTGCTGTGTCATGAAGATGAAGTTTGAAGTGGCATGAAATAGAAGAAGTGCTCGAGAGAAGTACACACTCCTCAGTGAAGAGCTGAATTCATGGCCTCTGCTTCTACAGACAACACAGAGGCTGCCATTTTCTTTTTTCACAGTTGTGTTGAACTCAGCAGCCTCTGTGGGACTTATTTCCTGCATGAAAACTGATTTTCAGTCGGCTCAAAATATTTTAATTAAGGTCACTTTTATCAAACTAAAAAAGGCTCTGAATTTCTTCACCTTCATGTCCATCAATCTTTATTTGTATAGCAGCAATTCATAACTTGTGTTATGGTGAGACACTTTACAAAAGAGCAGGTAAAAGCAGTAATATGATGTGAATGCAGAGATATAGATATATATGTGTGTGTATAGAGAGAGAGAGAGAGAGAGAGAGAGAGAGAGAGAGCTTCCTGACAGCTTTAAAACAGCATTACATAAATCTTCATCAAAAGAGGATGTTAAAAAAAAAAGGTGTTGTTTGGCTTTTTCATTTATTTGAGTGATCTTAGCCCGGAGCTGACTGTCGTTCACCTCCTGTTTAGGACGCGGGCGGCGTTCGAGGCCAAGCTTCAGAAGAGCAGCAGGGCCACAGACTTCCGCGTGCCGCAGTCCATCTGCACCATGTTCAACGTCATGGTGGACGCCAAGGCCCAGTCAGCCAAGCTGTGCGCCATGGACCTGGGGCAGGAGGTAGGAGGAACTTAAAAAAAAAAAAAAAAGTACTCTCAAATCAAGAGCTCTATTTCTGTTCTATATTATATAACTTTCTAGAGTTTAGACGTGAGACATCGCCCTCACACAGCTCACCTGTTTAAATATAATCTCATGGAAAGGTCAGAGTTGTGGAGCTGAATTGAAGTTAATATCCTTCAAATCTTCTGTAAATGTTCTTCTCAGATCAAAGTCAGGGAATCGTTTTTTTTAAGTTTGTCTGTCACATTTTTCTTCTTATTTCTTTTGCATCCTTCACATTAATTTCTCATGTGCCGCCATGTCACCTCTATCTTTTTTCTTTTGTTCTGCTTTCCCCCTCTCCCTCTCCCTCCTCTCTCTGTCTTGTGAAAGTTTGTTAGAGAATGGGTAAGTGTGTATTAATTCAATTGAAATCTCACCCTCCGAGTCCCACATGTATAATTAGTCATCAGTTTTCCCTGTCTGTATCCCTACACTTGAATTGTTTGGAGTTCATTAGCATATGTGTAAATAGTATTGAATATACATGGGGCTCGAAGTGAGAGATCTCATATTTCGCAGAATCTTGATACCAATCTCTGACGATGAATTAATTACTGCTACAGTCCTTTCGCTCTTTCTGCGGGTGCGACACGGCTGAACAAAAGGAGTCGTCGCAGTGACACTGTCACTGAGAGTTTCCATGACAGCCGTTCTTCTGCACAAATAATCAGTCCGAGTCGGAGGGATCGGCTTCATCCGAGGGGTTAAAAAAAAAGCAATAATGCAAGCTACAAAAACAAGCTGAAAGTGTTCATGAACAACACAATTAATAAGTAAAGGGGGGGGGGGGGGGGGCGCGCTCACACATCAGCTCACCCGAGGAAATTTTATCAGGGGACTGGAAGGAATTCTAAAATCTGTTCCATTGTGTTCACACATGCAGGAGCAAAAACACAACCAGATTTTATACATGTACATACACGACTTTATTCTGGGTTCCAGTCCCCAATCCTTATTATGTGATATGTACAGTCTCATATTGACAGACTTTTGCCAATGCACTGAACTACTGCAGTTGCCTGAATTGCCAAAAGAGGTTTGTTTTTGTGACAAACAGAGCCGGGTATCGTCCACAACCTCACCATTTGATTCGATATCGATTCAATATTAAGGTTAGAGAAATACCCAGATAACTACTCACAGTACCTTCTTATATTTGTTAAATAAATATGTGTTATGTCTCAAAAATGTATTTTATCATTGCATTATTATTATTTAATAAACAAAGAATAAAACATGAAAGTACAGTATGATCTAAAGTGCAAAATTGTGCCTGACCCTGAATTCACAGCACCCACAGTGCCCCCAGTGGAGAGGGGTGTCATTACAATGAAAATAAAAAAAAATCAATATCAGGATTTCCCTGAATCGATATTGAATTGGGAAAATAATAATTGCAATGCATTGATGAATCAATGTTTTTAACCAGCCCTAGTGTCAAAAAAGATGCAAAGTAATCCAAACCTTTTATATCGGAGTTAGCCTTCAATCTGAATCCATTTATCTCTCTTTCATTCCACTCTGTGTTCCTTCACATCGTCGTGGTTTTGACGTGTTTCAGTGTGTTCAGTGATCTTCATCTTGTATCCTCTGTGACGCAGAAAACAAAGAGCATATTGAAGTGTTTCAGTTGGATTTGAGAAGTGGGAACACTCGACTCCAGGAATTTTGATTGGGTTATCTACTGTTTTGTAAAGTCCAGTTTTTTTTTGCCCTTGAATGTCACTATGAGGTGGGATGACTGAATTTCTGTGTTTTTTTCTCCGTCCTCTGTAGAGACAATACCATTCCCAGATCGACAATCTCATTGAAGAGACGGTGAAGGAGATGATAACTCTGCTGGTAGCCAAGGTAACAAATAATAATATAAATCTACACAATGTATAAAATCACTTAAAGGCTTTATATGCGATTTTTTTTTTGATCCAGCAGATGTCGCCCTTGAGTACCAGCATGAAACCAAAACAACTTGCGCTGCATTGTTGTGTTAGCATGCTAATGCTAGCGATCTTTATTCTGCTGGTATCTTCACACTGCATGTAAATTTACCTGAAATGAGCGTGATCTAGAAACACAGTTAAGCAGTGAGTACAGTATGTTATTCTTCTTTTCTCTAGTCCCTCAATTAAACAACTTTTATACACGAGGGGAGGAGTCAGCCGGCCGTCCCGGCGATGTAAACAAAGTGAAGATCTGAAAACATCACAGACAGTGGGACTCGGGTGTTACACCCGTTGTAGACAGTCATGACTCACAGAGTTATTTTCAGAGGATACTTGATTCATATTATATTTAAGTGTGAAAAATCACATAGAAAGCCTTTAAGCTCTGAGTATAATTGCTTTTAACTCCACTTATGCAAACACATGACGTCAGCCTCGTGTTTCCTGCGGTGGTTTTTGAGCGTCCTCACAAATTAACGGGTTGTACATTAGGCAAATATGTGAACATTTACGTTCACGACCCAGACTGTGGTCGTGCGTGTGGTTCAAAAGTAAGTATATTTGAGACTTTTACTCCAGGCGAGTGAGTAGCAGTAATCGTACTTGAGCTCATTGTTGTCCTTCTCCTCTCCGTCAGTTTGTGGTCATTTTAGAGAGCGTGTTAGCGAAGCTCTCCAGATACGACGAGGGGACGCTCTTCTCTTCCTTCCTATCTTTCACAGTGAGTAACACATTTACTGAAACATCCTGGGTTTTTTTTCAGTGTGCACACAATCAGGACGCTGGCATGTCTCAATGTCTTCTTCATCAGCTCCTCTTTAATCAAGCTTACAGTTTATGCAGTCTTGCTAATCTTGGCTTTTTAATAAAAACATAATGCATGCTGACACAGTCATGCTGTATTTGTAAATCTTTTTGTTTTTACAGTAAAGTTTCATGTTGATTTTCACACAGTTTGACCTTACTTTGAGTTCTTTCTGAGCACAACAAGCGAATCACCTCAGCTGGTTTCCCTCGGGGACGGATTGGGATTCTGATAATTGAAACACCACATGAATCTCTGATCCTGACTCACCATGTGATAAACTGAAGTCTGAATCCTGCAGATTGAGTTCTATAACGTGGTGCCTCACCTGGAGGTCTAACTGTTCATAACACACATCTCTGTCTTCTTTACTGCAGGTGAAAGCGGCCTCAAAGTACGTCGATGTACCTGTAAGTAAGATGTTTTTATTATTAAGAATATCACGTGTGTGTGTGTGTGTGTGTGTGTGTGTGTGTGTGTGTGTGTGTGTGTGTGTGTGTGTGTGTGTGTGTGTGTGTGTGTGTGTGTGCACTTTTTTACATGACAAATGAGTACATTTTTAAGATTACACACCGACACTATGAGGACGTTTTTTGTGTGTGTGAGTGTCAACTTATTAAAGACAGAGAAAACAAGTTCTTTGTCAGATATATTTAGGAGGAAATGTCATGTCAAGGTCACCTTTAGGCCACTTAAAGGTCCAATCAGAGAGTGAGATGATAAAGGTATCTTACTCTCTGATCATTAAGGAAACATGCTGTGTTGAAGTGCTGGCTTCTCTGACAACAATGCAGCAGCCAGTATGTCCTCCTTCTAACTTTAGATTCTGCTCCTGAATGCTCTGGATTTGTTTGGACCAGAGAAGGTAGGCGGTTTTAAGGCGACCCCCCCCCACACACGCCCGTTTTGGACGCCCCTCGGTTTGCCAGATATGAGAGCAGTTATCAGGTCAAACCAACAGGTGTTGCAGCGATTCAGCTATTAATTGTGATTTAAAACATGTATCGTTTACAGCCTTAATTAAACATCTTTGTATGATCGGCCTACAGAAGAGAAAATGAATGTTCTCCAAGCGTGTCAATGCAGAGGTGAATTAAACTGCAATCTCTTGATTGGCTCTAAAATCAAGGGAATACCCATTATGTCCCATATTAAAATGCTAATTTTACAGCACAAATAAACATGTTTACAGTCTGTTTCAAAAAGCAAATTTAGCATCGACAGTTCATGCCTTTGTTGGTGAAAGTGGGTGATGTTATTTTTAATATCTCATACGTTTGTTTTAATGAAGCCTCAGAGTTATTCATACATTTGCATAATTAAGAGCTAGCGTTGATTTAACAGAAAGGTGGATACATTATAGTTTTCCAGGAAGCTTTAGGCCCGCCTCTTCTCCTGTTACTGAACCGCCATCTTTCCAAAACAGCTCTAGTCATCGGCATCTTGTCCCTGATTTATGCAAGTGTGTGTGTTTGTTGGTGTTTCTTTTCCATGTACAAATATTTGACCATGCTTTCACATGTTCAGTCAAAAATCCAGATGGTTCTAGTGGTCGTAATTTCCACATCCAATGTCCATTCATTATGCATGTGGCCAGACACCGACAGGCAGCCATGCCTCGTGCCTCGCTCTTTATGCAGTACACATTGTGGCTCCATGTTTTACAACACATGCCCACTCTGCTGTTAGGGTGGCAATGGTGGTGCTGTATGTGTGTGTGTGTGTGTGTATATGTGTGTACGCATCAGATCTGTTTTAGCTGCCAACACTTCGGCCCCAGCAACATGCCAAATTTCAAATTAATGGCCTGTCAGTGAATGTGACGAGGCACTGTGTACTCTGGCAGGGGTCGCAGTTTCCTGCACAGCATGCTAATTGTGTCCTTAATGTACAAAATTAGAGTTTCGCTGGTAAGAAAAGACACTCATTTACACGTTTCTAGCCTCAGTGCAGATGTGTTAACTGAGTTTAGGAGTTTTTTGTTTGGCTTGGATTCTTCAGAAAGAGAAACTGAGGTTAAAAGAGTGACTCGTTGAATCTTTCAAATGTTGAGCTATGTGGATGAATCTGAAGAGCCTTTAATAAACGCATTGTCCTCAGTGAATATTTTAGATGTCAGGCTTTTCCAACAATCTGCTCTGCCCATCAAACCCGACTGCCTCCAGTGCCCCTGTTCACTTTGCACATGCCCAGACTGTGACGACTGATCCCCGGGCCAAGCTCGAACTCTCTGACAGAACAAGAGCTGCCTGAAGAACACAGTCGCCCCCCTGAGTCTGCAACTTTGTAAATGAAACACTCTTTGAAGACGCAAATGTTCCCTTTTCTCCAAATTATAACCCTTTTTAAAAAAACACAACAACTCAGTTTAAATGATTTCCACTCTCGTCACCTAATGGAGAGATTTTAGATATATATATTTGTATTTAAGATGAATCTGTCCGCTGATAAAAACAAACCTGCTGGAGCTTCAAGGTGAAAGAGCAGTCGGAGGTGTTGCCAAGCAACGGTGGACATTCTCGAACTTTGCTCCAAAGCTATAAGTAAAGGGCCTGTGTCCACAGACACAGCGTTTTTTTGCATTGGCGGCGCCAGTTTTCAATACAAAACCAGTGTACTTCAACATTTTCAGCGCTCACCGTCCTGAGCGCTCAGTGCAGCTGGGTTTTTTTTGTCACTGCACTCACAGTGCTCTCGGTTAAAACAAGGTTACATTTTGTGAGCAGTGCCACACGCGTCAAAGTCACTTCTGCCTCATGGACAAATCAAAATCACAAAGGGGTTGGACTTCTGATATCAGCTCATCACTGAGCCGGCATTGGAGTTACAGTAACAAAGGGGTATCAGATGCAAAATGGCGTTACTGTAAAACGTCAGAGGCGACAGGATGAAGCAGGACTGTGTGTGTGTGTGTGTGTGTGTGTGTGTGTGTGTTTGTTTATACCTCATGAATCTTGAGCTTCCACAACACCAGTATTATGCCGGGGTAAGGTGAGGCGGAGTGAAGACTGAGCATCACAGTGAATTCTCTGTTGATAGAGCTTTTGATTTATCTGACCACCTAAACGCACCCAATGAAACCATCAATTCAACCCATGTAGACATTGTTTATGTTGTAAGCAAATAAAATTCAGTTGAAATATTGTGTCTACAGTTCAACAGTTTGTTTCCATTTTCTCATTCTGTGTCTTCGTCCTGTGTCCCTCTGTCACGTGCAGAAACCGGGGATGGACGTGGCTGACGGTTATGTGACCTTTGTGCGACATTCCCAGGACATGCTGCGGGAGAAGGTCAACGAGGAGGTGTACATAGAGAGATTATTCGATGTAAGTACGCCGCACGTCCTCCTCGACCTCGTCCTCCGTCAGAGTGAGGCTTAGTGATGACAAGGTTTCATTCACTCCACCTGTGATCGTTTGAATGGAGAAGATTAAAAATCACTTCTGTGATCCAAAGTCAAATGATTACAATCACACACACACGCACACGCACACCTACTAATACTTCAAATATAATATCAGTGATAAAGCTGGATACTTTTAAAATGGAAAAGCCAATGTCTCAATACTGAGGTGTTAGAAAGTTGGATTTATTTTGTTGTTTTTGTGCCAGGATCTTTTCAACTAGGGGACGTTTTTAAGATGTTGTATGTGTCGTTAAAGGCTTTATATGCGATTTTTTGATCCTGCAGATGTCGCCCTTGAGCTCCAGCATGAAACCAAAACAACTTGCGCTGCATTGTTGTGTTAGCATGCTAATGCTAGCGATCTTTATTATGCTGGTATCTTCACACTGCATGTAAATTTACCTGAAATGAGCGTGATCTAGAAACACAGTTAAGCAGTGAGTACAGTATGTTATTCTTCTTTTCTCTAGTCCCTCAATTAAACAACTTTTATACACGAGGGGAGGAGTCAGCCGGCCGTCCCGGCGATGTAAACAAAGTGAAGATTGGACTCTGAAAACTCTGAAAACATCACAGACAGTGGGACTCGGGTGTTACACCCATTGTAGACAGTCATGACTCACAGAGTTATTTTCAGAGGAGATACTTGATTTCTATACTTGAGGCATATTAAGCCTTTAACAGACTTTTTCCGATGTGTTGAATATCGTTGGATGTTCGATATTTGGGGGGTTTGTTGTAGTGGTGCAGGTAAGTCTCACTCGTTTTCAAATGGAAATACTGATTGAACAACTTCTTCACTGCTCGTGACATCTTTGTGAACGTTTGTGTCTTTTTGGGCTCTTTGCAAGTCACTTTGTTAAAACTGTACTGAAGCATCAGTGTCCTTCTTCACAGTAATCAACTAAAGCTGTAATCAACAGTCCCATGGCACCGTTTGCCTCCATTACATGCGACGAGGTCGAGCAACACCAAAACAATCAGTAAATCTCTAAGCCTCACTGCTGAGCCTCCGCTGAGGTCAAACTAAAAGATTTCTCCCTAAAATGTTCTCCCCGGCTCGTGCATTGGGAGGAGTTTTATCTTGAGCCGCTTGCTCTCTTCTTTCTTTAGAACGTCGGACTCATTTCTCCACGTTGATCCTCTCCGCTCCTTTTGTTTATTACTTTGTATCGTCGTGTTTGTGTGCAGTCTGTGGCGATCTGGAGGAGGAGTAATCCTCAGCGGCAACAACAGTTAATCAACTGCAAAAAGAGGCACAAAAGATCACTTTGTAACATGGCTTAACTCCATGTTTACTCACAGCCACCCACCACACATTCTTTATACGTTTCCTCTTTTCAGGACTTCCAAACAAGCGGCCTCACAAGCTTCTATTTAAAGAACTTGAGTTGTCAGTAGTGGATTACTCTGAGAAAAGATGGAGCTGGAAAACTCTGTCTTTGTGTCATCAGTGCATCACAAGAGAGAAGCTGTTTACAAAACCGCCTGCTGTAGTAGAAGTACGACCTGATGAGGACAAAATGCAGTATGCAGAATGGGAGCAGATGCAAGATCCACTGTGTGCCAAAAGAAATCTGGATGTCGTACTGATTCAGGAAAAATCTACAGTGTGCATCAAACCAGTCTTCCCACAATGCAAACCGCCAGGTCAGAGGTCGCAACAACGGACAGCGATGGCCATCATAACTGGGGAATTAATCATAATTAGACCAAACCACACAAAGATACCAACAGTTATCTTTTTGGACTCTCAAAATCATGAACATCTAAATGAATCTCTCGTCAGCTTTTATCAGACTGTTAGTGGACGCTACACTGGAGCGACATTTGACGTCAGAAGGGCTGATGTTCACTTCCTTATTCCAAGACCAAAAACCAGCTTGGTATACTGCAGAATAACCACCAACTGGCAGTCAATAATAGGATGTAGTATGGAGGGGGGGGGGTGGACGTTCAGGCAGGCCGTCCACCTACGAGAGCTCAGTGGCTCCCTTCTTCAGCAACCACTTTACACTTTAAGATGAATTACTTTAATTTTATTTTATTTCTTAAACTTCCAGGACAATTTATAGAGCTTGTATCGATCTTTTAGGGAGGACGTATCACACTCTATGAGAATTGCCCCCTTTGGCTGAGTAAAGTCCTGAAGGACACCAAAAACAATGCGTTAAGAGAAGAGTGTGTACAGTAATCTGGAAGGATAAGACAAAGGGTAATCTTTGACCTCCAAGAGCACAAGATCCAACAAACATGTTTTCTTTCACTCTCAAGTGAGCTGAAATGAAGTCTTGAAAAAAGTCATTAATGCCCATAATCATCTTCTTTTTGTTGTTGGACTTTGGGGAAATCACCTGATCCAGAGTTCGGACTAATCCCTCCTACACTTCATTTATCTGTGTCTCCTAGATTCTCAGCTCTATGTTTATTCAAACAGCATTAATTAAAATGTTGAATTTTATTGCATCTGTGCAGCAACGCAGCTTTTGTCTTACAGGAATGTCCCTCCTGATTCATTTTAACCCTTCAGAGTACTCCTCAATTTGAAATTTGGCAGGAAAATATAAACCTTAGCTCCTTGAGTCTGCATGTTATTAACTGCTTTATTGGTTTATTGGTTGATATGATGATCACATGACAGGTTCAGTATCAACATACTGCAGCTTGCTGACTGTGTGTTGGGTTAATGCTGGACTCTCTGCAGACTGAAGGTCCGTATACAGTCGCTCTATCTGCCGGTGCCGTTGTGTTGAATTAAGGCCTTAAGGTGTGAGCCGTCTCCTGTGCTCTCCCTCTCTCTTCCACCTGACAGAAGGCGACAGAGAGGTGTCCGGCGCTCCATGTTTGCTGCTTGTTTTTCTACATCTTGACCCGCTGCTCGGCCATGTATCCTCTCTTCTCTTCCTGCACATTTCTGCCGGGATCCGTCTCACTCTGACTTCTCTTTGTTGTCATTCTGCATCAGTTCTCCCCGCGGCATCACCCAACGCCCATGAAGGTGTCTCTGGCTGCACTCTGCCGCTCTGTTGTGCTTTTCTTGTCACTCCGCCCTTTTTTATTTCCACTCTCCCACTCTCTTTATGTGTCCTATTTCAACCTTGATCGGGTGTCATTTTCAGTCACAGGGTCAGGTCTGGATTATACTTTTAGCTTCTTTTGGAATAGAAAACTCAATCTTTATCTTTACTTGTATAGCATCAGTTTGTAAGAAATAATATAGTGTAGTAATATAGCCTAGTGGTTGCTGCATGTTCCCCATGTACGGAGTCCGCGGTCCTCTAGACAGACGGCCCGGGTTCAGATCTGACCTGTGGCTCTTTGACACAAGCACACTCAGACAGTCCTTACTGTTTGTCTCAGGTATGTCAGTTTTAGTTTTGGATTAGCTTGCTGACTGCAGAAGTTAAAACCTGTACCCCGTCTTTATACAATATCTTATTGGCTATTTTCTTAAAGAAGACTTGTACACTTGTAAAAAAAAACAAAAAACTAAAATGAAGCATTTTTACTAAATATAAACTAAACTAAACTAACAAACCAGCATGAAAAAAACTGATTTAAACTCAACTAAAGTTGAAAACAAAAAGGAAAGATGAAATCAGAAACCAGAATAACCTTGGAGATAGAGGGAGAGGGAGAGGGAGAGAGAGAGAGGGAGAGAGAGAGAGAGAGGGAGAGAGGGGGGGGAGAGAGAGAGAGAGGGAGAGGGGGAGAGAGAGAGGGAGAGGGGGAGAGAGAGAGAGAGAGAGGGAGGGGGGAGAGAGAGAGAGAAAAAAGGGGGAGAGAGAGAGAGAGAGAGACAGAAAGAAAGGGAGCGAGAGAGAGAGAAAAAGGGGGAGAGAAGAGAGAGAGGAGCTCTGTGGTCCACGTCTCATGGCAGTCTAAGCCTAAAGCAGTATAACTGGGAGGTGGTCCAAGCCTGAGCGAGCCCTAACTACAAGCTTCATCACAAAGGAAAGTTTGAATACTCTTAAAAGTAAAGCGGCGGTGTCTGCCTCCCGGACTCTGACTGGAAATGATCCAAAGGAGAGGGGCCTGTTAACTGAAGACTATACCTCCCGTAGTACTTTCAAAGACTTTAGGTCCTACATGCAGGCCCTGCATTCTGGGAGCATTTCTTATTTATGTTGTATTATTGTTTAAGGCTCAAAGCAAATGGATCACTTTAATGCAACTGTTCACGAGCCTCCACAAGTTAGAGTTGTGTGTGTGTGTGTGTGTGTGTGTGTGTGTGTGGAAGTAGGGTGGGGGTGTCTTCTTCTTAAAATAAGGTCAGGATGGACTCCCCCCTAATCTTTGCTTTGTTAGGCGGCCCCTCCCCTCCCTTGGTGGGCTTCTGACTTAATTTATTTATCTGTTTTGTCCGTTTCCTCTGGTGGGGATTACAAGCCGTGTCCCATACACGCTCACAATGAGGCAGCTCGTTACATAGAAACACCGTCTTATCGCCCGCTGCCTAAGCCGAGCTCCTTTCCTTAAATTGCATTCCACCTCAGTTACACAACATACTGTTGTAGAGTTTGCAATTTATTTCAGTTTCAGTTTATTGTCTAAGCATGGCAGTAAGTTTGTTATTCTATTTTAGTTTCATTGGCGTGAGAAGGTTCTTAAGTATTTTTTATCTTTATTTGATGATCTGTATGTATTTCATATTATGTGCTTATTTCTTTATTCTCTTCTTTCTCTATACTTGTATCGTATCATACGTGTAGTATGGTTGACATGTTTAACATATTTATTTCTTACACTTTGTATCTTCTTGCTTAAACCTTATAGCTCAATGTTTTTATTCAGTAGTAGTGTTGTAGTCAAGACAACACCAACCGAGACCAGAGTGCTCCGAGATCAAGACAAGACCAAGACCATAAATATCTCAGAAAAATCATCAACTTGTTTGCAGGGGCGTGTCACTCACTTAGA